CAGTTTAACTTATATCACTGCTCATTTAATTTGGCAATCATGACGAAATTGTACTCTCCGCGCTTTTTGACAACAAAACTTCGGAAATGTTGGGGACAGGGGAGTAGATACAGAAGCAGCACCGTGATATTCTCCTTCTTCACACGTCAATATAACACTTACGTTTTTGTTATAAAAAATTCGATTAAAACCACAATGATTAATAATGGCCACTTGTATATCGCTCATATCAGTCACGCAGTGAAGGCACCAATGGCGCTTAGACATTATAACCCTAGTTATAACCAAGCCGCCAAAGAACATGGCGCTTATGCATATCAGGTTCCCATTTGCACTTATAGGCTGAGAGTGACAAATGTAGATTAACATCTTGCCAAGGGACGTTAGTGCCGGGCTGTGATTTGAACTCCGCACCTTGTGATCTACACTCCGCACTCTATATGGATTCTGATAGGTTTTTCATCTTTTTCTCATAATTGTATAATAAAAGCGTTAATTTTGCGTTATAATCCATCAGGCGTTGAAGACGTATATTTATAGAGACATTTAGCGTGAAAGATGAAACCGCATGGGTGTTAACCTGCCGGCAGTGAGTGGTTAAGTCCCTGGAGTAATAACTCAAATCATTCAACTGCGACGAAACTGAAAACTAATAGAATCCGCTGACCGAGGCCACATTAGCTCCATCTCAATTAGTTTCTTAAAGAAATTGCATCTTTATGTATTCAATTTGTTTAGACTTTAAGGAAATGTGCTTCTTAAGTAATTAGGATACCCAATAAAAACAAACAAGAGGGGAAATGGTTGCCTCATAATGAAATGTCAGGGAGCTTTTGTATATTTTACCGAGTGCGCTAACAAAACGCACTAAAGCAAAACGAAAAAATTGCAAATTAATTGTTACCAACACACTTCACCTGCTCATTATTTTTTTGCGAGCCTTTCTTCAGGTAATAACTAACCGTGTTTTACGAGTAGCTATCCAAACGCACTCGTGTATATATGTATGTATTGCATGTACTTTTATCCTTCCTCTGCACTCTCTCATCCCTTTTCTCTATTTTGAACTTGCTACTTTTCAAATTTCCTTTTTTCTTTTCTTCAGTTCTAGTCTTTCCTCTCTATTTCTATTTCACTCCCATCTCTCAGCTCTCTGCCTCTGCCTCTTTCTCCCTTCGTCTCTCCCTCCTCTCTGTTTATCTCTCTCACTTTCTGTCTCTCCCTCCTCCTCTCCACCTCTTTATCTTCTGATGTTTTACAGTGCAACATTCTTTAATTATCTGCTATTCTTACTGTGACCTATAATACCTAAGGACTTCCATTTTTCATGTGCAATATGTTTATACATGTACTGTACTCATGTCACACTTGTGATTAGCACACTGCCAAGACTCCAATTTTCTAATACTTTTTAATACTCATCTACTGAATTGAATTTGTATTGCATTTTATCGCAGTTTTTCCTATGTTCCAGTTAATTGAATTCATGTATCTGGATACATTTTATTTGCTTTGATGTAAAAATTTATTCATTTTTGATAGCAATATTTTATATCTTGTATTTTTTGTATCTTTTTTTGTTTTTGTTTTTTGTTTTTTTGTTACTGCTTTGATATTTTGATAACATTTATTCATTTTAATATATTTGTTCTCATTTGCTATGTTTTCCTTATATATACATATATATATGTTTTTGAATGCTTTTTGATGATTGTATGTTTGATGTAAAGTAACTAAACTTGCATTTTTAGTCTTTGGACTTTTTGACAAGTCTTGCATGAATACTGAAAACCTCATTTGAATTGAATTGAATTGAATTAATTGGCTTAGGTTTTAATATTAAACACAAATAAAACTATAGAAATATGTTTTGATTTGCTTAGGTTTGAATATTAAACACAAATAAAACTATAGAAATATGTTTTGATTTGCTTGAATATTAAACACGAATAAAACTATAGAAATATGTTTTGATTTGCTTAGATATTAAACACGAATAAAACTATAGAAATATGTTTTGATTTGCTTGAATATTAAACACGAATAAAACTATAGAAATATGTTTTGATTTGCTTAGGTTTGAATATTAAACACAAATAAAACTATGATAATATGTTTTGATTTGCTTAGATATTAAACACGAATAAAACTATAGAAATATGTTTTGATTTGCTTGAATATTAAACACAAATAAAACTATAGAAATGTTTTGATTTGCTTAGGTTTTAATATTAAACACAAATAAAACTATGATAATATGTTTTGATTTGCTTAGATATTAAACACAAATAAAACTATAGAAATATGTTTTGATTTGCTTAGGTTTGAATATTAAACACGAATAAAACTATAGAAATGTTTTGATTTGCTTAGGTTTGAATATTAAACACGAATAAAACTATAGAAATATGTTTTGATTTGCTTAGGTTTGAATATTAAACACGAATAAAACGACAGAAAATGCAGAGGTCACATATATAAGTGTTTATTTTCTTTTGTTTGATTTTTGTTTAACTAAGCAACTAAAACCATAAAGTACATTAATCCATAGTTTTTCATATCCAACAAAAATTTCTGTTACATTTATTTAATTATTCTACATATATATTACATCTACATAATTATATCAATACTACAAGTTGAAATTACTCTTCAAGAAATCACTGCAAATAGGATACATGGGGCATTTATTACTTAAAGGGATTGGATTTGGGTATCTTTGTATAAGATTCTGAAACAAATTCCTGGCTTTACCACATGCTGCAATTATAATTATAAACATTTAGGTAAGTCAGGAATCCCACAACATTTACAAGCCAATCGCTTGTCTGATTATCAAGATATTTATGATTGGAAATCAAAATTTCAAAATTCGTTTTCCTAACGGTTTTTATGACACTACAGTCTATTGGGGAAAATGAGTATGGTAAAACCAGTCACTCAAAGATTTTTACTTTTTTGAGGCACTTCATGATCATTTTGAAGCGCAATTTATTAAGGGCTTCAATATTACTCCATATCACAGACACTGATAACTCGTAGGGCCATGCATCTCAGATTTAACATTTTTAAACGATGGGCTTTAAGAAAACCTCAAATTTCATCAAAAAAAGGAGAAGTAGGAGAGATGACCACATGAGATGATCACAAAATTCTCTGCGTGAAAAAAATCATATCATTCACATTCAAGAATTATTCAATGTTACAAGATGAAAATGCATTATATGTTGATCACAATTGTACCCTCATAATAATATGATATGCAAGTAAGTCTACCATCACTTTCAAATATGGAAAAATAATGGCCAGCAAATTGCAAGAATAATAGCCTAAATGACCATTAAAAATGAAAATAAAGCCAGAAAAATGGAGGGGAATTAGATCCCATGATTCTTTATACTCATACTAGGGGAGGTGGGGGTAACCTAAAAGTTACGAATATACACACAATCATCCATTAAACTTGATTCTCCTCTTAAACTTGCCCAATCATTTCAGCATTGGTATGTAGCTATTTTGCCAGAAAAAGTGAGCAGTATCTGTTGACTTAAAAACGTTACTTCTTGCATATTTGCAAACAAGCATAAGCAACTCTTGAGAGTTGGCCACTATTACAAAGCATTCACAAATCACATTCACAAAGCATATATGTGCATGTGATTAGTCATGATAAAATACACGAGTTTCTCTTGTGATGAAAATTGTAATCACTTTACTTACACATTTTGATTTATTGAAATTGTAATACATGGCATTCCATCGTTATGAAGGATTGAACTTTTAAAAATTGGGGTAAATGAAAAGGGGAATAAATTTTTAAGTTTCCTAATTTGCGGTTATGAGCTTGAAAAATTAATTACAATGAAAATGTTATTTTGTTATCAAAGCTTATTACAAGTATATAAAGATTACATAGCCATTCTCAAGGGGCTGTAGCCCCCTCCCTATTCCTCTCCGTCATACATCTATGGTAATAGTACAGCATAATACAAACATTGCAAAACTTTCTCATCATCACATAGATTCCTGAACTTGCTTTTTGTTTTAAAAAAGACTATTTGTATACACAAAAATTTTGCTAAACAACTACAATATATGCTGCTTGTAAGTATCGGCTTACATGGTGATGTAGATATACAGTAGGCTTGCGGATGCACCATGTGAGAGAGAGGGAGGATTGAGGACTCAAGACTACACCAACAGTCCTTTTCAGGACTACACACCCTCAAGAAAGATTAAGCTACAGTCCCATATACGTCCCGGACCGTCCCGGACCATCCCGGACCCCATCCGGGGTGATCCGGGATTCGGTCCGTGTTGACACCGTGTTGGCACCGGGGTGGTCCTGGATGGTCCTGGATGGTCCTGGGCGGTCCGGGAGTCGACCCCGGATGTTTTTGACGGTCAAAAACTACCGGGGTGGTCCGGGACGGTCCGGGACAATAGTTTGATCCGGGGTGATCCGTGTAGCCACCGTGCTGGGTCCGGGGTCATCCGTAGTGGCGCCGGGGCGGTCCGTGTTGATCCGTGGCAGTCCGGGAGTGAGTTATTGACCCCGGATCACCCCGGCGCCCCTAAGGATGATCCCGGACCATCCCGGACCCCATCTGGGGTGATCCGGGATGATCCGTGTTGGCACCGGGATGGTCCGGTGTCATCCGTGTTGGCACCGTGTTGGCACCGGGGTGGTCCGGGACGGTCCGTGGCGGCTCCGTGCTGGGTCTGGAATGATCTGTACTGCTGCCGGGGCTATGCCCGGACGGTCCGGGGCGGTCCGTAGTGGTACCGTGTTGGGTCCGGGGAGACGGTCGGCGGTTGCGATTTTTTTTAACAAAACATCCCGGATCACCCCAGACCATGGTCCGGGATGGTCCGGAGTGGTCCGTGCTCGTCCGTGCTGGTCCGGCTTTATATGGGACTGGGGCTTTACCGAGAGCCCTTTTCAGGACTCCTCAATCCTCCCTCTCTCTCACATGGTGCATCCGCAAGCCTACTGTATAACTACAATATATAGAAAATAATATTGCTAGTGACATTCGTTTGTCTTGCAATGTATGGTCAACAAGGGATCTAAATGATCACGACGTTTTGTGTGCTGCTGCTACACTTTGTCAGGTGATAAAATATGTTGTAAGCAAGCATTGCGAGACAAACGAATGTCACTAGTGATATTATTTTCTATACTATATCCGAAATGAGTAATATATTTAGCATTAACTACAATATAGTTTCAAACTTCCATCAACAATCATCCTACAAAACTCACACAATATGCCTGATTGAAATCATTTATAAGAATATGCTTCATATAAAAATATATACACTTTTTTAGATATATACAAAAAAATAGTAATTTTGTCTATCAAATATGGACGGAAATATTTGGAATATTCTAACGCTGTTCATTGTTTGAAAGAGTTTCCTTTTACAATTTATCACACAGATGCACAAGATTTTACATTCTCATATTACTTGCATGACTGTAGAACTGTACGACAAGAGATTGCCAAAATGATGGGAATCATCTATAGTTTACTGCCTGTTAATCTGTATGATGATGACCAATTGATCACAGCTTCTCTAGGGCACATGTTATATTTTCTTGAGAAAACAGATGCAAATCACTTGATAAAGTAATAATCTGCTGAAAGCAGTGAACAATCATGAAATTCTGTTGTGTAGTTGTAGAAAAGAACAACCTCTTGTGGATCCTCCCTGGTGTTGCCCTTGATGCCGTAGTCTTCCAGGGTCCTGGCTGGATCAAGGGCCAGTGCATCCTTGGTCTTGTCATGATAGATGAGGAGAGTGGTGGTGGTGAGCGAAAGCTCCTCCTTGATGATACCACAAAGGGAGAGGATTGTGGAGTGGGACAGGACCACCTCGCTGAAGTGACCAGGATACAACTTCAGGTGATCGAAGGTAATGGAACGGAAATGCACACGCACATATCTGGAAGATGAGAAGACATTTTGAGATATGTCAGGTAAAAGTAGTGCTTCTTCAAGTTAAAGACTGTGTGATATAGAAAAGTGGAAACACCTACCTGGATTGCAGAACTCTATATCAGTTTGAATGTTAAGGGACCATTTTAGGGATATTTTCCACTCAAAAAAGTCCTGTTAGCAAATATATTATGTATATAAGACCATGATGATGCCATTAAATGTGTCACATACGAGGCCTCTCCTAGCATCGCATTGAAGCTTCATAAACCACAATAAATAAAATTACTAAAAACTGATACATGTAAAAATGTTAACCCCCTGGAGAAATGAATTTGAGTTTGCGTATGTGTGTTGTACATGTATGGAGTGTGGATTTTATAAATCTGTTTGTGTGTTTCTACTACAAGTGTTGTGCTGCTAATTATTTCAGAACAATATTTTCAGTTGTTGAAGCTAAAAACAAGTAAAATTATTAATAAATAGAGAATTAAAATCGTATTTCCTGTTTCTTACATGTTTACCGGACACCAATCTTATTTACCGGACGGTATTTACCACCGGTATTTACCACCGGTAATTACCACCCAACCCTGGTAAAGAACTCAGATAGATTAGAGCATATGGTTTCCCCCTTAATTCTATTGAACAGGCCGAAACTCCTTCGCAGGTTCCTGGGAAGAGTCATGATCACCATCCTTTCTGTTCAGGAATTTGTCATACGGTACAATAAGCTACTGCGAGCAAGTTACCTACGCCTCCAGGAGTGATTAAGGAAATCAATACCGGTACTCTTCAATTTCATTTTGGTTGGGGCTTTCCTAACAGAATAGAGAGCAGAATATTTATTTAAAGTTATGGGGAAGGGGGATTAAGAATGGTATCCAAAACCTTATTCTAACAGAACAAATTCCTTAAATCCAACCCATGAATAATAGCATTATACCTGTATAAACAGTTCTAAAAAAACTTTAAGCCACATTTTAAAATTCAGAAATACATGAGCCCTTTTTTCATAAAAAATAAATTGGCACAGTAGGAATAGATATATTGTAAATATTCATGAAAATCTGATTGATGAATATTTACAATATATCTATTCCTACTGTGCCAATTTATTTTTAATGAAAAAAGGGCTCATGTATTTCTGAATTTTAAAAGTTACTTAATTTTTTTTTACTTTGCATCATTAATCTCAAGCAATATCCTGTCATACATTCTGAATGAATAAAAATTTGATTTATCTCAGAAGAACTGATGATACACAACAAAAGAAATTCATGAAGGACCAGATGTAACTTTGACTGCGCGCAGTCCAAAATGATTCCTCTGCCATATAGCGATTTTACAAACCAAAACAGAGGTAATTAAACAAAAAATCAAGTTTGATTGTAATTCATTAACAGGTTCTCAGAATATCGTGATTACAAGCTTTTTATCATATATAAGATCTTTGACCTCATGACCCTAAAATCTAATCAGTTCATTGGCTCTGCAAGATACATACAATGTACATGTTTTGAGTTTGATGGTAATTATCCGTCCATCTGTTCTAATGATAATGCGATCATAAGCTATTTTTGCAAACGTAGTACACCTCATGACCCCAAAATCCAATCAGTTCATTGGCTTTGCAAGATACATACATGACTCAAGTTTGGCAGGAATCCATCAATGGTTTCTTGAGATAACACGATCACAAGCTATTTTTGCATACATAATGAGCCCTGTGACCTTTGACCCTGGACCTCATGACCCCAAAATCTAATCACTTCATTGGCTCTACAAGATACATACATGACCCAAGTTTGGCTGGAATCGATGAATTGGTTCTTGAGATAACGCGATCACGAGAACGGGACGTACAGACGGACGTACGGACGAACGGACAGACAACCTGAAAACATAATGCCTCCGGCTACTTTGCAGCAGAGGCATAAAAAGACTCTGTACAAAAGAAAACAATTGTTCTTCCAAACAAATATAACAGAAGAAAGAACTGTAAATAAAAATATGCATTTTAAGACCAACTGTTCATAGTAGGAAAGCTAACAAATATCATAATGATCAAGTATAATTTTTTTTTTGGATTTACATACATTTGTGGGGCATTCAGTCTTCCATGCGAGGGTGGAGCAAGGTATGTGGATTCAAAGATTTTGTTGAAACTGCACGCTCAATCTGGCTTAAGTGCACATAAGCCAAGCTCGAGCTCTTATCTAGAGCTTTGGCCTGCAGTTCACTTCTTCTTCTCCCTTTTGAGTACAGACCTCTTTACAGAGTATTATCGTACTATACTGGGGGTGTGTGCAAGTGGACCACTACACCGGGGTTTCCCCCTACTCTTATACGAATAGTGCAGTGGGTTCTTAACATGCAAAGGTAGTGACTCTTCTCTACACAGGGCCTCCATTTAACGTACTATCCGAGGGACGAAAAAAACTCTCGAACTGATGAAGATTACCAAGTCGGCTAATTCTGTTAGCAGCTTCCTGCGGAGGATTATCAGAGACTGCCCTCTCAGTCACTGCCCTTTTCCAGTACTGGAGTATGCTGCTGTACGTGGTATGGGATCCATTTACTCAGAAGAACATCACAAGATTAGAAATGTAACAATGTCGCTATAGGAGACTTTAGGCGTACAAGCACCGTAGCCGATATACTAAAGCAACTCCAGTAGACCACACTTCAGGAAAGAAGGGCACAACAGTATGGTCTACTGCATAATCCACAGGCTAATTGACATTCCTGATGTAAACCTCATTCCAGCCGCTGGGCCATCGATCTACACGTGGGAATCCAGACAAGTTTCAAATCCCCTACGCCAGAACCCAAATGTATCAAAAAACATTCTTGCCTGATGCAATCATACTATGGAACTCCATCCCACCGAGTATAGTCAAAAGCACCTCCTTAGTGATTTTCAAGCAGGGGGTGCAACAGATGAGGCTATGTTAAGCCTCTTCTGTTTTTTAGCCACACATAGTATCAATTTGTAGTGAGATTTTTACTTGCACTATTCATCTGGGCACTCGACAAGCACAAGTACGATAATACGCCTCCGGCGGCCTGTACTTAACTGGAAGAAGAACAGGATGCAAAACGCGAATTTCGGGCTAAAAAAAAATGGCTCACTATTTTCTCAGCTCAAGCAAATGAAGACCTTAGATTATTGTGTGGACTGGAAGCTTAACCTATAGATTTCTCCTAATCACATTGATGTCAAAATTGATTAGTGATCTCAACAAGGAAAAATCTGTTTGGCTCTATGTTTTTTCAATCATATCATAATCCTCAAGAGCATAAGCCCAACACACACAATTCTGCAATTGCAGTCGGGTATATTATTTGATCCACAGTTAAAGTAAGATATTTGGTTAGTGTAGAATGAGCACCAAAGCATGTATTGTACAACCCAGTTCCACCCTTGAGAACTTTTAATTAGTTCAAACATTGCCTACAGAAGCTAGTGGTCCTTGTACAAAAATATGGGAAGAGTTAAACCTGTTGACTACTGAATGAGAAAATTTCCATAAGATGTAACACTTCGGTTGCTTTCTTTGCCTCTCTGTGTGATCACAATTTTGCACAAAAAAAAAGGCACCAACTGACAAAAGGATTGCTTTGCGCAACACAATGGCTTTGCAAATGACATATTTCCCGTCTTAATTAGCTCCATGAAAACCCTTTAAAACTGGTTTAGATTGACCCAGCACTGGAAACAGTTACATAAACATGTATATAATCTTTGGTATATCTATTCCATGATAAATACAATGTGGTACAAGGAAGAAATTTGTGAGGCATATATAAAAAGTTAATACAAGGACCATCCGGATCCGGTAGGCATCGGGTTAAGAGATAATAACTTCTTACCTAGGATGTCTCTCTATGTGGTCTCTCCAGTGGCCGAGGCTACAACCAGGATGACACAAGGCTTGCCTGGTCACCAGACTCGGAGGCTCCTCCATGCTCAGCTCACTCTCACTGTAAGGAGATCAAGGTGTGAATACAGTAAGGTGTGAATACAGTAAGGTGTGAATACAGTAAGGTGTTCACTGAAATTAAAGCAATTTAATTATTGCCTTCCATGGCACAGAGGAACTTAGTTAGAAGAAAGTATTTGGGAACAAGGACTTTATTGATAAGCGATTGCAATAATTAATAGCTCACTTGAGCCTGGAACTTCAGATTAATTGGGAAAAATACTTTTCCAGCCACTCTTAAGGCTCACTAACTCTTGATTTTGGGATCCATTCAATTTTTATTCAAGCATCCAAACGAATGGCAAGGGGGGTGAAAAAAAGAAATGTTTCTTGTCTTTCTACATACAAGACTGCCATACATGTACTTGCTAGCTGTGTGTTTTAAGATACAGATACAGTCAAACCTGCTTCAGTGACCACCTGTCTACAAAGGCCACATTTGGTGTTTCCCTTGAAAATGGTTTCTCATTGAATCCTGTACTAAAGGCACCTGTTTACAAAGACCACCTGTCTCCAAGGGCCACTTTTTGTGTTTCCCTTGGGCGGTCGCTATAGACAGGTTTGACTGTATTACGCTCACGTCATGTAAAAAAATGGCAGTTTATCATGTCATATATAGACGAGCCTTTAGGATTGAAGATACTGACCTTGCGAACAGACCTTTGGAGAATTCCCTGTAGTCAATGGTGCTGTTGGAGTCTTTGTCCAGTCTCCTTGCCAAAACTTCAAGCTCGATAGCATTGCAAGGAGCATCCAAATCCAGCATACCTAGGATTAGTAGAACAAAGATTATGGAAAATGACTATCTAAACAACATAGATAATACCACTAGGAGTCTGAGACAATTGCCAAACAAAATTATTGTGATGTAATGATTCAATAACATTTTATGTACAAATTCAGAACCAAAGAAAATATGTTTGTCATTACTTCATTTTTTTAACAAGAACTCGCAAGCCACATTACCCATGCGTACACACAAATAAACAAGCCACAGCATGCGAGACGATAGGATTTTACAAAAATATCTCAGACACAATTCACAGCCAAGCATGTGCAGAGCTCTGCTTAGCTGGTTGAGCTGCAAGCCCACCGAGGCCATGACTGATGTGCATACCTGCGGTTATGTTAACGGGGTGTCGCAATAGATGCATGCCTACCATTGTAAATACATGTCATAAATATAACTTACATTGTAAACAGACGCTTCGTTTCTTTGTACAGATGAGATTACGAGTACATGTAATTATAAACCATTTATGTTCCAGTACATTTATAGCTTGAAACTTTGATTAATAGTACCTGCTTTGAATTCATCATAAGAGAGGACACCATCTCCGTTTTTGTCAAACCTCTGATAGAGTTCTTTAGCCTTGAGGTTATTGGAGGCAAGCCATCGCTCCATCCGATCCAGGAAGTTCTGGTAGACATCCTTCTGGTCCGTTATCAAGGCACATGCTTTGTTCAGTTTCAGCTGTAGTTGATGAAGAGAGAATTAATGGACGACATACAAAATTTGGTCAAACGTTATAATAATCCTTGTGGTGGTAGTCCATGTTGGAGGTGGTTTGGTAATGTAAGCGTGGCTGTTTCTGTTGTTGTTGATGCTGTTGTTGGTAGTGCTGTGAGTTAGCGTGTAATTTCCTATCCCTGTACACAGGCAGTTTATCTGTGCATATATGTATGTATATACAAGTGTATACCAGGGCTTAAATTAATCCAAGGCCATGGCCGTGGATGCACTTTTGATTGGCCTCAATGCCCCTCTCACTGGCCTTGGAGATTTGTTGTGCCCTTTCCAATTCTTCATATTTGTGCTGTTATATAGGAATGTGCCCTACAGAAAAGTGGCCTTGCCCTAAAAATATTAAAATTCAAGGCCTGGTATACAGTTATGAAATTTTCCAAAAACAAAAGCAGCATTTCAGCCACGTAAGACCAGCAATCCAGCATACATGACTGCTAAATTTTAGCACTTCATAAAAATGTGTTCCTTACGATATTGATTTTCCGACCTGTCATTCAATCACAATATGGTCTGCAAAACATTATTTTTCATTTTCATTTTTGTTACATTTTTTCGTTACATTCCTCTGATGATATGCTACATCTTCCCCAATGCTGTAATGTTCGCAGTATTATCTTTTATGTACTCAAACAAACAAACAATGGAAACCAGCTCAGGGAAAACATTGCGCGTGCGTCGGAGCAAGGATTTTCTCGGAAAAGTTGTTACTGTAGTAACGGTACTGCACACGAGACCAACGCGCTCATGGCCGCAATGATTGGCATGACGACGGCATTGGATCAAAATTGTAAAGTGTATGGAACATTATTTTTAGACTGATGACAGATATTTTTGTGTGAAATATTGACTTCAGCAATTTATAATGCTGAAAAACAGGTGATTTTTTTGTTTTCGTTCATCCGTGTAGTGAATTTCCTACACATGTAGTGGTACAGTGACAGCACTAGTTGTACTAGTTGTAGGCAGTCATGGTCTTGGATTTTTCACACACAAGAAATATGGATAACTTAGTAGAGATAGATATCTGCTTCTGTATAATCTAGGGACTTCAAAAGAAATATAAGTTTACCAAACTCATTGAACATATATATATGTATGTATTTCTGTTAATTCATGCAAATTCAAATCTTTAGATTATGTAATTGATTGTTGTAAAGCGGATAGAGAATTCATTATTATACGCTATATAAAAATGACTTTATTATTAATACAAAGAGTGGAGAATACCTGACCAACTGTGAGTATATATGGCAGGCATAATTATAGCTTACCATCTTGTTGATTTAAGCAAACAAATCAAGCGCAATTAAAAGAATACCTTTCCCATATACTTACAATTCTTTTCTCCATCTTGGACATCTAACACTTTTTATCCATTATTTGGCTAAGAAGAATTCCTTGAAAACTGCTGGACAAATTTTCTAAAGGACCTATTTCAGGGGGATTAAGTTACTTTCTAAGAAAGTTCCTTTTGCAATTGCAAAGACTACAGAAACATTAATTCGGGACACTCCCCTGTCCCTGCTGTGCCCATGACCATGTGTTTTATTGTGGGCCTTTTTCATTAATCCATAGTGGCAAGTGAATAGAAGGAAAGACATTTTTGACAATAGGATCATCCATGCTCGTCATTACCTTTAAAGTTAAAAAGATTAAGATGTGTGCAGGTGTCTTCATCATGACAAGCTACATGTATGTACATGTAAAACCACTGCATTTGTAGGTGTCAGCCCACCACCCTTCCCTTCCTAATCCCAAGACTTTGTACATGTAATCAAGAGTGATCTATGCTGTAGCTTATGCCTGAACATGTTAAGGTATCAAAATTGGGATGCAGCAAATATTACATATTTGCTTGCAGAATACTCATGTTTCATTCCCCAATAATTTGTGTAATGTTTATCACAAATACATGAATATCATTAATTCAGTGTACAGTTTTCTCCTTGAGATATTCAAGATGCGTAATTACTGTGAGATTTACAAGCATCGGTTTATAAAAACTGTCAGAAATAGGGCTGATCAGATCTAGCAATATCCTAGAGGATTTTAAAAGAGCTCTGCAAAGAAAAATCACACTAATTCCACAAGAAATGAACAACATGATCTGTAAAATTGAAGTTTGGAAACAATCATCCATGACATTTTGATTAAAATGTGCAATGCGCTTCATATAACACATTTGTCAAGAATGGATAAATTTTAATTAAAATTTCAAACCTAAACATTGTATTTTCAAAAAGGGCAGGTACAACTGTAGAACATTGCACATTTTCCAGGATTGTCATTTGTCATGAAGATTACTACAAAGTTCCCCAATCAACACAGGTTAAAACTTGAACAAAAACAATTTTATTGTAAGACAGTAAGTTTGTAATGTTTCTTATGGTGTCCATTCATTGTCAAATAGAGCTTATTTCCCTACATTTCCCATTTCAATTTAATAAATTCTTCTCCTTATCCAATCATTGCCACTTTTGTCCTTTTCTTCATCGTTATTCAGGACCTAGATTCCTGATAACACACTCAGCTGTCAGTGATTTCTATTCTTTTCTCCTTACTCACTTTTCACTCGTTTCCATTGGTTCTCGATCCTTCTCTCTCAGGCTATTTCATTATTTTGGACTTGTTCATTTTCTTCTATCTAATAGTTAAGATGTTACAAATCATAATATTCTGAATGTCCTGCACAGAGCAGTCTGTAGTATAGAAATACAAAGCAAAGCACTACAGGACTTCAACTAGTATACATCTCTTTATTTTGGTTCTCAATAAGCTACCGACTTAGTTGGATAATTACCGTATTGTTATTGTTGACTGATTTTGGTTTCTGATTGACTGTTTGTAGAACTGTCAAGGCTCTATCCTGAGAGAGATACAACATTGTTTTACAGCTATGATTGAATAAATGGCTTTAGCGTACCATAACCTAGTCTTACCTACATGACCTCATTTATTCTTGAATAAAGCAATGTCAACATAGATCTAACTTGTCATTTAAGATCTAACTTGAGTGATACTAGTCTAATTATCTAGGGTACTGAATACACTCACCTGGATTCTCTCCTCTTTGGTAAGCTTCGGTTTTTTCTTCCCACCTTTCTTCTTTCCTTTCCCCTTTTTCTTTGCCGGCATCGTCCAAGTGGTAATTTCACGAAAGAGATCTCAGCATTAGTGTGTAAATCTCCCGAGGAATTTGCTGCTAATTAAATCCCACTCATCCTGTAGAAATGAAAAGGACGCAAACTTGCTTAAATTTTGCCCTTTTTTTTTTCTCCTCACAATTTCATTTGATTAATTGCTATATATACATGTACATTGATTTTTGTGTACGGTAATAAGTTTCATGAAACAGGGCCATGGGCTGACAGTGGGTTAATATTCCACAGAGACTTGTAATAGACTTTGAAAGTTCAAATTCAAGGGTAACATCACTGGGTTTCTAGTTCCAGAGAAATGCAATTATATACACCTGTACATAGAGAATTGTGAATAATATAGATGACAAGGGAAAGTATATTACTAGGTAGGAAAACATAAAGAGACAAGAAAAGGAAACAGTACGTAAGAGGCCTAGTAATAGTATTAGTATTACTAATTGTATTAGTATTAGAAAAATATCCCCAAAAATGGAAATATAAAAGGAAAAATGAAAGAGGCCTGAAAGAAAGGGAAGTAACCATTAGACTATACATTAAGATAACTGAGAATAAAACTAAAGGAAGAAAAGAACGTGGAGAAAACAAAAATGAAGCGAAAATGGGGACTAAGAAAGAAGATCAGGAACAATGGAAATAGAAAAGAACATCGGTAGGCCTAATTAGATGTAAAATATTATAGTAAAACAGATGGAATTAGAACAGAAGATGAGAGGAATCAATCAAAGACAAAGCAAAGGATATATTAAGATATAGAATAGATCTATGAGATTAACACTGTAAATGACAGAAGGAAGAAAATAAATGCATAGAGTCTAGATCTAGTCTAAAGAAAAAAGAAAAAAGAAAAAATTAGATAGGGTCTAGCTAGAACTGCATAGATTCTAGAAGTAGAAGGGAAAAAAATAACATAGGCCTAGATTACCTAGGTCTAGATCTACATAGACCTACAATAAAAGGAAGAGAAGATGAAAAGAGAAAAACAAGGAAAGGTAAAAACAGATGATACCATGGCAATAAGGATAAAAACAAAGAATAACATAGGCCTAGAGGCTAGACTCTAGTCATAGGAAAGATTTTTTTGAAGATAAGCAGTGGCGGATCCAGGGGGGGGCCGAAACGGCCGCGGCCCCCCCTATTGGCGGCGCAAAAAAAAAAGAGAAAAAAAAGAAAGGAGAAGAGAAGAAAAAAAGGAGAAGAGAAAAGAAAGGAGAAGAGAAAAGAAAGGAGAAGAGAAAAGAAAAGAGAAGAGAAAAGAAAGAAGAGAGAGAGAGAGAGAGAGAAAGAAAAAAAGAAGAAGATCCCCCCCACCTCACTCCCACTCCGGGGTCGGAGGGACCGATTTTGTGTTTCCAAAATTTCTGATAAAGGGTTACTTTTCACGCAACGAAGTCCGGCCCGCACTGACTTTCACACCGAAGATAAAGGGGTGCTTTCAAACTAAGAGAGGGAACATACATGCGCGTACCCTAGATAACACTGAGTGGGTGGGGGGGGGGAAGAGAAAAGTCGGGTGAGAAAGGGGGAAAGACAAGGAAATGGCGCTAAGTGACAGTAACGAAGAATAAGGGAAAAACTGTAATCGGGAGATTTGGGGTCATTCCAGAAGGCTTGGGAAACGTTATTGAATAGAGGGGGCCGGGCCGGCCGCATAAAATCTAGAGCCACGGATTCAAAGTTAAACGTTACAAACAGCCCCTGCTTTTTGAAAAAAATTGAAAAGGGCACAATATTTTGGATGTCTTTCAAATAGAAGCTATATACTGAGCAGCCAAATTTTAAATTAACGGTAGGGCCGCTTCACAACTCTTATTTTGCCCTTCATTTGGATTCAGCTCATACCAACTCGCTTGTGCTTATATTTGAAGTCATGTTGGTAGTGATAATGGACAGCGGCGGCGATCCAGGGCCCGATAGAGGGACACGTCCCCCCGGAAATTTAGATATATAGCTAGAAAGAAATATACATGTAGCGGAAAGAACGTACATATTGGACTAAAGGATTTTCTAGAATGCATAATTTCAGCATTCTACACTGCAAAATCTCGCTTGGTCGCTACGCCCCGGCCCTCACCCGATAACACAAAACTAAGATGCTCCCGGTCGCGATTATTTCATGGTTGGTATATAAAAAGATTTTTTTTCCCCTTTCATTTCTACTGACCTAATTGTATGCTATCACAATCATGATTGTTTCATTTTCCCTTTAAAGCATGCGTAGCTAGGGGCGGTAGGGGCAGTAAGGGGACATAGGACGAAAAAAGGAGCAGACAAAGAAACATTTTTGACAAGTCTAAAACGGTACAACAAATCATCTTCTTTCTCTATTAACTTAATGAAACGTTAAGCTTCTGCGCTTTGCGCTGGAGGGGGAAACTGAATTCAGAGAAGGATTAAAAGTCGGGAATAGAACAACGAATTATATTCTTTCTCTAATAATTTCATTAAACTATGAAAGGTCAAAGCTTCCGCGCCTCGCGCGAAAGGGGGAAAATGAATTCAAACAAGGATTAAGAATCGAGAATGGGACAACGAATCATCTTCTTTCTCTCATAATTTAATGAAGCGTCAGAAGCTTACGCGCTACGCGCGGGAGGAGGAAAACTGAATTCAGACAAGGATTTAGAGTCGAGAATGGAACAACGAATCATCTTCTTTCTCTAATAATTCAATGAAATGTCAAAGCTTCCGCGCTTTGCGCGGAGGGGGGAAACTGAATTCAGACAATGATTAAGAACCGAGAACGGAACAACAAATCGTCTTCTTTCTCTAATTATTTAATGAAACGTCAAAGCTTCCGCACTTCGCGCAAAATAGGGGGGAACTCAATTTAGATAAGGATTAAGAGTCGGGAACGGTACTCTTTCTCTAATGATTTAATGAAACATCAAAGCTTCCGCGCTTCGCGCGGGAGGGGGTATGGAAACTGAATTCAGACGATGATTAAGAATCGAGAACGGTACAACGAATCGACTTCTTTCTCTAATAATTTAATGAAACGTCAAAGCTTCCGCGCTTCGCGCAGGAGAGAGGGGGGGAGAGAATTCAATTCAGACAAGGATTAAGAGTCGAGAACGGTACTCTTTCTCTAATGATTTAATGAAACGTAAAAGCTTCCACGCTTCGCGCGGGAGGGGGTATGGAAACTGAATTCAGACAATGATTAAGAATCGTGAACGGTACAACGAATCATCTTCTTTCTTTAATAATTTAATGAAACGTTAAGCTTCTGCGCTTTGCGCTGGAGGGGGGAATCTGAATTCAGAGAAGGATTGAGGGTCGAGAATGGAACAACGAATTATCTTCTTTCTCTAATAATTTCATTAAACTATGAAGGTCAATGCTTCCGCGCTTCGCGTGGGAGGGGGAAAACTGAATTCAGACAAGGAATAAGAGAACGGAACAACGAATCGTCTTCTTTCTCTAATAATTTAATGAAACGTTAAGCTTCTGCGCTTTGCGCTGGAGGGGGGAATCTGAATTCAGAGAAGGATTGAGGGTCGAGAATGGAACAACGAATTATCTTCTTTCTCTAATAATTTCATTAAACTATGAAGGTCAATGCTTCCGCGCTTCGCGTGGGAGGGGGAAAACTGAATTCAGACAAGGAATAAGAGAACGGAACAACGAATCGTCTTCTTTCTCTAATGATTTAATGAAACGTCAAAGCTTCTGCGCTTCGCGCGAGAGAGGGGGGGGGGAGGAAACTCAATTCAGACAAGGATTAAGAGTCGAGAACGGTACAACGAATCGTCTTCTTTCTCTAATAATTTAATGAAATGTCAAAGCTTCCGCGCTTCGCGCGGGAGAGGGGGGGGGGAGAATTCAATTCAGACAAGGATTAAGAGTCGAGAACGGTACTCTTTCTCTAATGATATTATGAAACGTAAAAGCTTCCGCGCTTCGCGCGGGAGGAGTATGGAAACTGAATTCAGACAATGATTAAGAATCGAGAACGGTACAACGAATTGTCTTCTTTCTCTAATAATTTAATGAAACGTTAAGCTTCTGCGCTTTACGCTGGAGGGGGGAATCTGAATTCAGAGAAGGATTGAGGGTCGAGAATGGAACAACGAATTATCTTCTTTCTCTAATAATTTCATTAAACTATGAAAGGTCAATGCTTCCGCGCTTCGCGCGGGAGGGGAAAAACTGAATTCAGACAAGTATTAAGAGTCGAGAACGGTACTCTTTCTCTAATGATTTAATGAAACGTCGGGGAGAGCAGGGGGGGGGGGGAGGAACTAAATTCAGACAAGGGTAGGAGTCGAGAATGGTACAACGAATCCTCTTCTTTCTCTAATAATTTCATGAAACATTAAAGCTTCTGCGCTTCGCGCGTAATGGGGGGGGAGGAGGGGAACAGCGAGCTGCCCGAATATGAATTTGTTATATCTTTTCTCGTATATTTTGGTGATAAATAACACTTTCACAAAATACATATTATCCTCAAATTTTTGCTCGCTCGCTTCGCTCACTAGCCGAATTGTGAAACCAGAAAATTACTTTTCGGGCAAGAGGCTTCAGCCCCCCCCCCCCCCCCCCCCCCGATGAAAATGTCAAAAAAATTACCGGTAGACCCTCTATGGTGCTTCTAATATGACCTCATCAGTATTGGTAGGGTCTATGTTGAGTTGAAAAACGGTCTGCGCAATTTTCAAATTTCCGGCCCCCCCTATTGGAAAATTCTGGATCCGCGCCTGGATAAGGGCGTCTTAGAGATAAAGAATAACATAAATGCAGTTAATGGAGAGTAGATCTAGGTCTACTAAAGTAAAGTTAGAGTAGGCCCCCGAGTAGCCCTAGGCATTATCTAGCCACGTTACAAGATCTAAACATTTACTAACTCTCTTTACTTTAGACTAGTCTACTCGTTGCATTGTATCTGAAAAATCTGTAGTCTTCAACTTACCACTAACCAGTAGATAGGGCTAGGCCTAGACCTATACGGTACAAACGGTTCAACTGCCGATTTGTATCCAAAGCCACATACTTTTCTAGTTAAAGACAAATGGTAGCCGCGGCTCTTGCAAACTCCCTGGGTTACGTTAGCTAGCATATGAGTGTTGATGTACGTCGTACACGTAGAGTTAGCGGCACCGGCCAGCTAGGCGACCCCGAGCTAGCGGGGCTGCTGGAGATCGGACGAGCAGCGGCAGCGCGAGCTTGGAGCTGGAGGCTAGGCAACGATGATTGTTGATGAGCTACATGTATGGTATCCTCAACCAGCAACCAACTACGATATCTTAAGAAAATACACTGAATCTCATACTGAATTTTTTGTTTGGGGGGGGGGGGGGGGTCCATTTCAAGAATATTAATTTCTATCTTGAAAGGCATTTCGCTCTAGACCATCTTCCATTATACATTTAATATTGTTTTTCAGTGTTGTAGGTTCTACCATATGGGCAGACCCATGGCACCCCCCCCCCCCCCGGCTCAACCCCGGCCTTCAACCCGCCTGCGTCATTTTTTTCCTGCAGCACAGCTAGATTGGGGCTTTTTTTTTTTTAAAGAGGTCTTGATTTAACCCTAACCCTAAACTTTCCCATAGGCTCAACACGCACTTAACCCCAATCTATGCCGCCGAAAAAAATAACGCAACCCGCCCATTCTTACACACTTGTATTGCTGAAATTGAAAAGTAGTGATGCGCTTTAATGTTTTTGTTTCCTTCTTTCTTTCGTTTGTTTATCATTTTCTTATTAAAGAATGTTAGATCCGCCACAACCTTCTAGTATTAGCAATTCTGCATCCCCGTTGTAGTATAAAAATCTTTCCAAGGGTCCTGCCCGGCCGGATCGATCCGTATGCCAATCAAACGCAAATTCATTCATTTATGTCGTTTGGGCTCATAGAGATAGTATATATCTCTATGTTTGGGCTAGCTATATATTCCTCCCCCAATGTCCTCTTCAGAGACACCACAAATGATATTTCCGAAATAAAGAAACTATGCTCAGGATTCGAGTCACGCTTCAATGCTCGTCATTTGTTTGCATCCAATAGCAACGGTCGAGGTCATTTCTACCGCAAAGGTAAAGTCCGCGGACTGCAGTGGGCATGCAGATCCGGAAAGATTCTCCAAATGTAATGATTCTGAGGAAAACAGGCGCGAGCCAGTGGGGGGGGGGGGGGCAGTGGGGGCGATCGCGGTCGCCCCCCCCCCCCCCAAAAAAAAACAAAAAAAAAAACGCCGGCTAAAAAAAAAGGGGGAAAACAAGAAGAAAGGAAGAGGACGTAAGAACAAAAAGGATTAAGAGTCGAGAACGGTACAACGAATCGTCTTCTTTCTCTAATAATTTATGAAACGTCAAAGCTTCAGCGTTTCGCGCGGGAGGGGGGGGGGACTGAATTCAGACGAGGATTAAGAGTCGATCGAGAATGGTACAATATGAATTGTCTTCTTTCTTTAATAATCTAATGAAACTTCAGAGCTTCCGCGCTACGCGCGAGGGAAGGGAAACTTGATTAAAACAAGGATTAAGAGTCGAGGACGGTACAACGAATCGTCTTCTTTCTCGAATAATGAAACTTCAAAAGAAACTGAATTTAGATAAGGATTAAGATTTCTCTAATAATTTGATGAAACGTCAAGGAAAACTCCCCCTCCCTGCACCCACCCCCCCCCCCCCAGGGAGCGCGTTACGCGCGCTCTGTAAGTGGTTCGCATGCTTTGCGTGCTCACTACCGCCCCCCGCCCCTAAAATGAAATCCGGGCTACGCGCTTGGAGGAAAATGCGGAATTCTGGAATGGTCAAGGAATGTTTAAAGGAAATTAATGTAAAATCAAGAAAAATCAAAGGGTCAAGGAATGTTTAAAGGAAATTAACGTAAAATAAAAAAAATATAAATATAAAAGAAAAAGTTAAGTTAATCCCCCCCCCTCAATTTTTGTTTTGTGTGTTTTTTGGAAGAAAACTTTCTCCACTCAATTTTTCTTTTAATTTTTAATTATAGTAATGGGTGACCAAACATAGGTGACCTTTACCCCCCCCCCCCCCAACGGAACGAAATATCGATCAGCCAAATTTTCAGGACAAACAAAAATGTGCTTCCCCCCCCCCCCTTTTTTTTTTAATGGCGACCTAGCTAAAAAAGTATCAAAATGGGAAAAGTGAGCGACGGAAGAACGAGAAAAGAAAAGAGGAATTTCAAATTAGACTGAGGAGAGAGAGAGAGAGAGAATGAAAAAGTAAAGATCATCAAACTTAAATTTACAAATACAAATTACATTTCCAATGGGTTGGCTCAAAATTAATAACAGTATGGGAAAAAGAAAGTTCTATAAACTTGTCTTTGCACTACTTGTAGCTATTTGCGGCATCATCCATGACCCCCTTTTTCTTATTTGATCGAGATAACCACCTGTCAGTGCATGACCATGCAGGGAGGTCTAATCCCTCCTGGCCAAACTAGTACAGATAGGCTTTAAAAATTAAGAGACAAAGGGAGACGATTTTTTAATGGAATGATAGTTAGGGGCTATGTAAGAAATTTGTCTAGCTCATGAAGGCCATTTTGAATTTTCTAAATTGGAAATTTTTTAGAACTTCCGGGGGCTATAGACCACCGGCAAAGGCTCTGCCCCTGGACAACATTTCGTTGGATAAAATTGTCCTTAGGAGAGTGTTTGTTTTACGTAGTTTAAGCTTTTACCAACCTTAAAGTTTAGTAGGCAAGCTTTCGTCCACTCCTGTGGACATTTGGTTATTCACACCATTTCTTGCTTTCCTTCTCAGTGGCGGATTCAGGGGGGCACAGGGGGCACGTGCCACCCCCCCCCCCCCGGTTAACAAAAGGGGGGAAGAAGGGGGAAGGGGGAAAAGAAAAAGGGAGAAAAGGAGAGAAAGGAGGGGGAAATGAAAAGGCGGGGAAAAGGAAAAGAGGGGAAGAGAGAAAGAAGAAGAAAAACGAGGAGAGAAAAGGGGAGAGGAGAAAAGGAGGGGGAAAGAAAGAAAGGGGTAAAGACGGAGGAGAGAAAAGGAGAATAATGAGAAGGGAAAAGAAAGAAAGGGGGATGATATTATAAGGTTGTTTTTTTTTGCCGGGAAAGGGGCCGGAGGGGCACGCAATTTTGCAGTGTGCATAATATGGGGTCTCTCTTGCCAGGCGTGAAACAAACAAAAAAGAGATAGAGAAAAGGGGGAAAGAGATAGAAAAAGGGGGAAAGAAAGAAGTTTTGTGAGTTAAAGGAGAAAGGGAAAAATAGACGAAAGACTTCATGTATGGCTGACTGTCAATGAAACGGAGTTAAGTCTTTTGTCAATTCTGCTCGTTGCTACGGCAGGCAGCCAGTGAAAACAAACATTTTAAATCAAATTATATGGAAATGCAAGCATCACTTTAAACAAACAGAACTTTGTTATTCCTTGTTCATTTTTCCTGATTGAGGTGTCATATATGAAAGGGCAGAAACTGAACTTTCTAGAAATGTGAATTTTTCTTCGACATTCAGATACCGGAAATTCTTTAATTGTGATTAAGTTATGATAAAACATTGATAATTCTCGGTTTCGTTTTTTCTGGGTCGCACTGTACAACAGCTTTTCCTTCTTTTTTTTAAATCAATTTAATTACTCCATGTTTCTGGGACGTCGATAATCTTCCCATATATCAACGGCTTTATTGAAAACTTCTACCAAATTTTTTTCTTTGCCCAAGATGTAAGACAAAATTCTACTGTAAATCCAGAATTTCCAACTTTCCAATGCTTCAAGAGATTCCACTTTGATAACTACCCCTTCACATGCAATTCTACTTGCATCAGTTAATTTGGGGATATTCTTACACATGTTTTCAAATTCAAATTCAAATTCAAATTTATTCATGTTTCCAACAAAACATTACAAATCAATTATAAGCATTTAAAACAAATTTAAGAAATACATGTTGGAAACAGAGGGGTCCACTAAAAAGCAATGCTTGTACAAGTGTGAACACCTCAAATGAAACTTAGGAATAATGAGTAATTAAATTATCTAATATGTAACTACAAAAGGAACTATAAAATAGGGGAAATAAAAGGGGAATGCCAACAGAGACGAGAAAGGGACAAGACAATACTTTACACGACAAAGATAGAAGAACACGGTCATAATACAAAGAGTAGACAATGAAAAAAAGAAGTGAGAGATCGAGGGTACAGAAAATAATACTAAAAGATGAGCTGCATGTGGGGTTGAGAAGAAGATAAGGAAAGAGAAAGGAAAAAGAAGTGCACGTTAGAAAGGAAATAAGCATGAGAAGGAACAATATAATATATCAAATTACATCTTGAGTCAGTGAACGGAGAATGATCGTATATTAAGCAAAAAGCAATAACGGCATATAATTCAATGAGGTGTATATGATTTTAATAAAAACAACTTCAAATTTTTCTTAAAAGTATTAATCGATGGAGCATTTTTTATTTCACTGATTTCAACGCCGAAATAATATCGTAAATGTTGCAGTATTCCCTTGAATGATCCCATTTTTCTGCATTTCAGCAATACAATATTCTCTTTGATCACCGAGTACCACCTCACATTGTTTTACCCTACATGCATACATGTACATAAAAGAGTTACTCTACGGACTACCCATGATCATGGGTGTCGATCCCGGGGAGGGAAAAAAAAGAGAAAAATTAATGATGAGAGCCCGGTGAGAGTATAGTTAATGGTTATTACAAAATGACCATGCTATCTCATTTTCATAATACATACGTAAATGAGAGAACCGTATATGAGACAAGAATAAATTGAATTCTCGCTCATATGGCTTCATCAGGAATTGATGAATTTATTCAATTTATTCAATCAACAGCATCATAGAAATGCAGTGAGTCAAATGCAAAGCCGCAGCGTTAAAAAGCAACGAGCTAAATGTTAGCACGAAGCGCAAAAGTGCAAAAAAAAAGTAGAGAGTGGGAGAGAGAGAAAATAAGAGACAGAGAGGAAACAGGCGTGTAGCCAGGTGGGGGGTGGTGGGGGAATTCGCCCCCCCCCCCAAAAAAAAATAAAATAATAATAATAAAAAAAAAATAAAAACGCCAGCCAAAAAAAGAGAGAGAGAGAGAGAGAGAGAGAAGAAAGGAAGAGGACGTAGGAAGAAAAAAGATTAAGAGTCGAGAACGGTACAACGCATCGTCATCTTCAAAGCTTCCGCGCTTCGCGCGGGAAGGGGGGGGGAACTGAATTCAAACAAGGATTAAGAGTCGAGAATGTTACAACGAATCGTCTTCTTTCTTTAATAATCTAATGAAATGTCAGAGCTTCCGTGCTACTCGCGGAGGAAAGGGAACTGAATTCAGACAAGGATTAAGAGTCGAGAACGGTACAATTAACGCATCGTCATCTTCAAAGCTTCCGCGCTTCGCGCGGGAAGGGGGGGGGGAACTGAATTCAGACAAGTATTAAGGGTCGAGAATGGTACAACGAATCGTCTTCTTTCCCTAATAATATAATGAAATGTCAGAGCTTCCGCGCTATGCGCAGAGGAAGGGGAACTGAATTCAGACAAGGATTAAGAGTCGAGAATGGTACAACGCATCGTCTTCTTTCCCTACTAATTTAATGAAATGTCAGAGCTTCCGCGCTACGCGCGAAGGAAGGGGAACTGAATTCAGACAAGGATTAAGAGTCGAGAATGGTACAACAAATCGTCTTCTTTCTTTAATAATTTAATGAAATGTCAGAGCTTCCGCGTACGCGCGGAGGAAGGGGAACTTGATTCAAACAAGGATTAAGAGTCGAGAACGGTACAACGAATCGTCTTCTTTCTCTAATAATTTAATGAAACATCAAAGCTTCCGCGCTTTGCGCGCTCTGTAAGTGATTCACACGCTTTGCGTGCTCACTGCCGCCCCCTAAAATAAAATCATTGCTACGCGCTTGAGAGGATAATAACCCATATTCTCTGAAATGTTATCTTTATTGAGGGTGACTTGAAAACAGTTAATAACTTGTAAGGGAGGGGGTGCAACCTGCCAAACGCTTCTACCTCTTGGCTGCTTTGATCCATTGCCAAAAATATTTTGACACCTATCATCCCCCCAACCACGGATACAAATCGACACCGTTGCCCATGATGCATTTCAGTCAAAGTTCACTCTTCAAAGTTACAGTCCCAGGAATAGAAAATGCACTCAGGGACATGCTATTACAGAAATGAAATTTACATAATATTTGCAACAAACAGTAACTCATAAAGTAAAAGCCATAAGTTTGATAATCAAAGCTCTGTTTATTGTCATCATGTCATAACAATGGGCATTAACTGTGACTAACAAGGAAATACAAAAATATGAAATATTTGTTAATGCATATACATGTATGTAAAAACAAATAAGGTACTACAGCTCGATTGTTAATAAATAATGGTCTCAGAATAGAGAGAAAGAGAACAATATACAATTTATTATTTAATAATAATAATAATAATATGTCTTGTTTACCCAGGGTAGCCTCATCAGTATTCATACTGTTCTCCCTGAGGGCCCTGCAATCATATTATTACCCCGGTCATCGGATTCAGGCTTACCCACACACAATGTATGCACATTTTCCACTCCCTAGGGAGCATTCCAGCCAGTGCATCATTTTTACAAGCGCACACTTGCTAATCTAAGCCCATTAGCTTTTGCTAATTCGCTATTTAATACAGCGTACAAATGTAACCTTTTAGATGGCTTGAGGTCTCCTTGATGATCTTAGCATTACAGGTAAAATACAATAATGAATACATTTTATATTCTCAAAATCTCATAGCAAAAGGGTTTCTATGCGGAGAGCATCATCTCACCGCGGCCGAGGTGGGGGTGTTAGTTAAAACCCCCGAGACCACCACACAAATTAATACACAATTAAACAGTTTCAATTACAATTTCATTTGGTCGTTTATTTTATAAAAGGTTACAATTTCTTGTGTCGTGTTTCTTCAGTGTTTATCCCTTACCTAATTACTTAACTACTTGAGCTCGTTTACCCACGCAGCCACATCAACAATCACTCACTTAAAATATAGTTATTAGTGGGAGGAGGAAGGGGAAAGGAAAAGGATTATTTAAATTACTTGGGCTTTTAGAGTCTTTACTCGATCGATAATTAATTGTCTTTAGAGTTTATAGGCCTTTTTAATTGGGGAACGGGTTGATCACTTAGCTCTTTCTTGTGTTCTCTCTCTCTCGACTCGTCGCACTCGTGTCGGGGCGTACTAGCAGACGTCAATGTCCTGGGGGCGTCGTAGGGTCTTACCGGTGACGTCAAATTTGTTGACTTTCTCCACAAAGAGCACAAAATAATCAGCGGTCTCCTTTGTCTCTTTCTATTACTCTGGGTTGAAAGTGTTCTCTCTACTGGCGAAGAGCGAAGTGCAGTATTATATATTGGTTGTTTCAGTCCCTTTCTATTATTGACTTGTCAGCACACAGTGACCAGAAGATGTGAAGTCCCACAACTTTCAAAATATTCCGTGGACGAAGCTGTAAATTGGTTGCAAGTCGGGGATCTCCAGACGTCTGTGGTGGCTGGATTAAACTTAGGGTGGAAGGAGAGGGGTGGCAAATGCTTGGGGTCCAGGGATGCAAGTCTTCTTGGGAAGGGAGGTTTGGGTCTTTTTATGCTTAATTAACACACCGTTCAGCCATCTAGCTCGCACCTCGAGTCCAACAAATTCCTTATTAATTTCCTTTGTTTTTCCATCCCATAATACTTTTTGGTCACCTGATCTCCCACCACTGTCGATTTCTTAATGGACAGGGCTAAAACTTATTCCATTGGTCCAAACTCTCTATTCCAAAACTCTCACAAACTTTTTACCTGTTTTTATTCCTGATTGGTCAAATGAAGGGGAAGTCCTTATACTTTTTAGCGTGGGTATGCTGGATTCACTCGTTGGGATATTCTCGAGATACCAGTGACAGCTCAGGCTCTAGAGTGTCAATTAACTACTGATACAATGACTCTGTTATCATTCACCATTTTCACAAACACCTAACTAAATTCTATCAAAAACAAATCTGTTGTCCAAAGTATTTTTATCGTTCTTAACCCCACCCGACCTATTGCTCGACCTATTGCTCTACTCTTTTTCCCTTGTCCCTTCACCTACATATAGTTACATAGTCTATCCCAAAGCCATTTATTTATCAATCAAATATCCCTAGGACTCATGATCCTTTTAACGCGGCTACTTTCAAGTTCAAGCACAACTCCGCATGTTCACACACATCTTTAATCCCAGTGTATTCCACCATGCTACAGTAGTATATTTTTCTTATACATTTAAAATGTAGGTTTTATATCCACCTACACAATTATGATGTCTCATTTGCATTTAATTATTAGGATTTGAGATTACAACACTGATAACCTATTGGCCTGTTCAACAAAAGTATAAAGGACTGATATACAAATACTTATACGTACAGTTCACGTGCATTTATTGGTAAATTTATATACGTTTAGTTAAAGTCCCACTGCACTACTTTTAGCTATGTGCGCCCTCTATATAGTTAATTGAGAGCTAATTTGATGAGATAACCACCTGTCAGTGACCTTGCAGGGAGGACTACACCCCCTGGCCATACTTGTGCAGGCGGGCTTTAATAGAAAGTGGGACACAGCCTTTATTGGGATCAGCATACAGTGTACTATTCAAATCAAATTGAATATATTACAAAACAGACACATCCCTCCCTATTCATGGGTTGTGAGAGGCATCTGGATATAAAATGCACTGTCTTAATACATAGGCATCAAGCTCAGATTCAAACTCTCCAAAAATAGATTTTGTCAACTAAATGAACCACTATCTCACTGCATAAATTGCTGGTCAAGGTAACAAATTTAGTTTGGGCAATCACCCTCCGGCTGATGACCAGCAGGACAATTACCGCCTAAAGACATTTACCCCCAGAAAATTATCCCCTGGAAAATTACCATCTGAGGACAACCACTCCCCAAGGTCAATTACCCCCCCCCCCCCCCCCCTGGACAATTACCCACCAAATATGCTTTTATTAAAACCAACTTATTATCGAGATAAACTTCTCCTTTACTTAACAGATGGGGTGGTCATTTTTTTTTTTTTTTTTTTTTTTTGGGGGGGGGGGGGGGTGTAATTGTCCTTGGGGTAGTTTTACAGGGGTTCCTTTTCCAGGGGTGATTATCTAGGGGGTAATTGTCCTGGTACAAAGTTACAAACAAATTTCACAATATATTTTTCCCTGTGCATCTGGATAACATCAACATTTTGTCATTTGGACCCAGAAGTGCATTAACTCTGTCAAATAACAGGAGTGAATTCGCTTCCTGCTCAAGAAAGACATTATTTTCTTCTCTACAGGACCGACTTGTACTTGCAGGCAAACATGACCCAAACTGCACAGGCCGACTCGGGATAGGTGAAAGTTCGAACTCGCACAGCCAGCCTCACATGGTCGCCACGGCAACGGATGATTTCCTCACAGACAGGTGATCTGAAAATGATAAACAAGCAACCATCAAACATTACACATTGAATAAAATAAGAGCTTCATTTCAAGGAATAAGCTTTATTCATTTTTCTCAAATAAGACAATCACTTTATTTCATTAAAAAAATAAGACCATTGAAAGATGGCTCTATATGAGTGTAATTTTCTGTGTCTTTATACATGCTCCCTTGCAAATGGAGTCAGCAGAGCAAATATGATCCATCCTTACCTGAGGCACATTGAAAACACTCTTCGAGCATTGCGATGAACAAACTGGATGGGGAATCCCTTGAAGGTGTGACCATCAGGAACAGCCTGTCTCATGGCTTGCTGGAATTCTTCGTTCCCTGAAGACAGTCCTGTCATTCTCTCCAGCTCGTACGCAGCCAAAGCAGGATTGAGTAGGTAGCTTAGCTCATCGTCCCACACACTCGTTAATCCGAGGTCCTTAATATAAAAACAAATATGTTTATCTTATGAATCTGTTAAAGAAAGGGATTTAAAAGGGGTTTTACCTTCAAATTGGCAATGCGGAACGGTACAGCAGGCTCAGCTGATCATCCCCCATGCTTTGCAATTTTCCTCTGTACGTCATATCAAGAAAATCTATGCTTGTCTTATAAACCTTTCAAATAAAAGGATTTGAAAGGGATGAATAACTTGAGCCCTCTTATTTTAATTGGCAATGCAAATCTTACAAGGTAACTAAGCTCCTCATCGCACACTCCTGTGGGTGAAAATCTAAGAGATATGAAATATAATTTTGTTTTAATTCATCAATCTCAATTGATGCGAAAGTAGGTCAATAGTAGAGGAAGGGAATTGAAGCGGGGAAATGAATTTTAAATTTGCAATGCAAGTTTCAGGAGGCAGCTCAGTTCATCTCCCCCACAAGCTTGCCAGTCCAAGGTGCAAATTTAAGAATACGCAGTGCTTATTTATATCATTTACCAATCAAATAGGTATTTCAAAGGGACAAATAAATCAGTTTTCCTTTTTTATTTCTTTTTTAAATTTGGAATGCAAGTTTTAGGAGGCAGCTCAGTTCATCTCCCCCACAGGCTTGCCAGTCCAAGGTGCAAATTTAATTTTCTTTCTGTTTTAAATTTGCAATGCAGGATTTAAAATAAGTACAATTGGTGCTGGTCTATATCAAAGATAAAAGAAAGGATTTTGTTCTCCTACATGATTCAGCTTTTCTTTCTTGAAGTGGCAAGGCAGGATTAAGAAAGTACATGATATAGCTTTTCTCATCTAATTTCCTTCTAAACTGCTTAGAGGCATTATGCAATTTGTGGTATAGATATTGATTAATCTTCCAATAGCTTGTCAATGCTCCCACTTTTGAGGTTAGGTGTATTAAAAGTTGCAAATTAAGAGTAGCAGTCTAGCAGAAATGTGAATGAAACATCTTTCTACATCATGATTACAATTCCTTTGGGGCAATGGTTTTTAACCATCGCCTCAATGTGGCTCAAATTAAGCTCTAGCTGGCGGGTAAAATAAGCAATCTTTGAGAATGAATTCTGATGACTTGACCCCAGTCACCTGATTTTACTGTGATAGTAAAGTACAAAACAGTTGACCATTTATGTTCATGATGATTACACTTGTAGCATAAAGAAAGTTTGTGAATGGAAAGTAACATCCAGTCATCTTGAAAAATCTATCTGTATTTTGAAAAGGATTTAGAACACATTTTTTGAGTTTTCAAAATGATTTGATAGAAATGTAAGTATGTAACTGTGCTTACATTGAAAACTTCCAGAGGAAATTCTACCACAGAATAAATTAAAGGCTATTTAGAGGTCCAGTGTGTGGCTTGAGCTATTGAAACCTTATCGCCTTGTAATGCTGAATTTGCCCTGGTGTGCGTTACCCAACACTGTCTAAGAATAGAGGTGGCGTAATACAGGGGGGGGGGCGTGTCATCAGTGACAAATGACAGTTTTTGTTATAAGCCACTGAAATCCTTGCTTCTGATTGGTTATCAACAGATTTGTCACTGCTTTTTGTCATTTGTCATTTGATGATTACACTTGTACTTATATCATAAAGAAAGTTTGTGAATGGAAAGTATCATCCAGTCATCTCAAAAAATCTATTTGTATTTTGAAAATGTTGCATGGAATTCCTTGTCCTCCTTTTTAAGAGAATTCCCATTTCTAAATTCATTTAAAATAAAGCTTGAATCATACCTGTTATCTTCTTCAGTTGGTTTTCATTTTCATTTAATACCTTTTATTTTACTTACTTTTACTCTTTCACTGAAATAATAAGTTAAAGCCCACGTAATATTTTGAATTAAGTAAAAGGGAAGCTTAAACAAATAATATAATAATATGCAGGTGTAGAGATTTACTGAGCTCTGAAAAGTTCTTAACAAGCTCTAGCAACAAGAAAAATATTAAGAAAAATAAGCAAATATTTAACCAAAATATCCCAACTGACAAAGCTGGGAATTTATTTGTCATGAATTTGAAGCCACTCTAATGAACTACCCTAGAGACACTTAATCCTTACTGTACTGGGCTATTTTGAGCACCTCACTGACTGGGGTTCCCAGCCCCAGCCCCCCCCCCCCCTATGATCTTGGCCGTCGAATGTCCGAAGAACACGAAAATTTGCATGTTTGTAAATATTTATGTAAGGAACAAAATGGTAAAATTGTTTTTTTCCTAATATGCAATTTTTTTTCGTTATAGCCTAATTAATTATGCAAAATGCTAATTTTTATACATTTTACAGAAAACTCTACATATTTGTCTGTAGACTTGTGAAGAAACTTGAAAATGTATTGAATAAATGTTTCCTTCATCCATGAGGTTTCCATGAGGTTTCATTATTTTTATGATATTTGAAAATGCATAAGTAAATTTGCATAAATAATGAATATGCAAATTACGCATTCATGAATATCAAATCTGGAAATATACACAAAACTAGAATCATTACAAAAATTGTCAGGCTCCACTTTTTGAATGTTGAAACTCATTATTCATATGAAACTTCTTTTCTAACACAAAATAGTTATTTTTATGTAATTAATAATGATAATTTATGCAAATTTGATGCGATTTTCAAATATTTATTTTCTTATGTATTTTATTGTTTTTTATTTCTTATTATATCTATTGTTTTATTTCTAATGTATTCTTTTGTTCTGGAATACATCAAGTTACTTTGAAAGCAACTATAACAGCTATAAAAGCAATTTGATATCAATTCATACACTGTCGCTCATATAGTTGGAATAAATTCGTTTCACCCCAATTTATGGAATTATTTTAAAAATAATTTAAAAATAATTATCTACATTATAGTAAACATTCTCAGATCATTTTATTGAATAATAATTTGACAAAGTGTGTTTTACGTGACTGCTAAAGCATGTGTACGCTACTATGCTTTTCAACCGTAGGGGACCTTCGCCCTTAAGTCATAAATGACAGTAATGAGGATTAATGCCCCACAAAAGGGCACTAATATAGCACATCGACACGGTTTGGATCCTTGGGCCTCACAGATACGAGGTCATTGCTGCTTGTACATGAATATATGCAATCATAGCACTTTTTGACGACATGCGCATATTTATTGTTATGTAACACCTTACAGGTATATCCTATTTTGACGGAAATGGTATCAAAATGTCGATAAGATTTCTTAAAAAGTCCTGAAACAAAAATTTGAAATTCCAAGCGGTTGCAGCGCAATCTCGGAAAATGTCGAGGGAGGGCCTCCCAGCCCCCCCCCCCCCAAGTACAGTAAGGGTTAAAGGTTGGGTGACATCCAAATTCAAGTTGAATCCTGTTGATGTGCAGGGCTGCATATAATTCATATTTTGTTATTCAAACATCTAAATATATTTCATGAATTTTAAATATTTTTTAAAATAAATTTCTCAGACCTGCTAAGCTCTACCCTAAAAAAAATGCTCTAGATCTCATTCATCTTGTGCCATCATCTGTCAGTCATTTATGAGCCAACAAGAGACAGTGGTATGTAGCTTCACCAGAGCTGACCACCGATTTAGGATAGACCATACAATACCAACATAGGAGTTGCTATGTCAGACGTGCTGTAGCATCACCAGGAAAAGAAAGGTAATGTGGAAGTATTGTATGAAAGAATGCAATTCTTTGTTGAGCATGGGCTGAGCTGTGGGAAATTACATACCACTGTCTCTTGTTAGCTCACTTATGATTGACAGATGATGGCACAAGATGAATGAGAGCTGGAGCATTTTTTTTAGGGGGTCTTAGGAGGTCTGAAAAAATTATTTAAAAAAATACTTAAAAATCTATAAAATAAATTTAGATAATTGAATAACAAAATATGAGTTGAATGCAGAAGTGCATATCAACAGGAATCAACTTGTATCTGGATGTCACCCGACCTTTAACCCTATCCAGCTTTAGAAGCCCCCCCCCTTCTACACATTTTCACGATAACTTGTAACACAAAAGAATCTTGCGCTGCAATTTTATGACTTTTTTTCTTTAGAGTCTTGCCCATCTCTTTAAATAATTTTTTTGAAAATCAGTCCTACCGTTACAAATCTATACACTTCACTTGACATACATGCAAATTTTCGCGGCGATCAGGGGTCTTAAAAGCCCCCCCGGCCGTGTTATGAATTTTCAATATAACCCGTGGCAGGGGGCATCTCACTGAGTGGCGAATGCTTACAAACGTTGCGAATTTTGGAACTGCTACTTCAGCAACACCATCTTACAACCGTTTGTAAAGGCTTACAACTGTTAGCAGAAAAATAATTTTGCATTGCAACAAGAAAACTAATTGCGAACTTTCTTGCAACCTTTTGCAAACTATCTTGCAACCTTTTGCAAACTATCTTGCAACCTTTTACAAACCTTGGCGAAACCCAAAATTTGCTACAGTCGCAAGCATTTACCACTCAGTGAGATACCCTCTTAAAGGGATTACTACTCAGATCATTGTTAGTAATTTAAACTTCTCAATTACAATTGACTTCGATATTTTATTCATTTGTTCAGTCACTTATTGTATTTGTTTTCTAATATGCATGCATTGTATATCCCTTGCATATCCCTCCCACACTTTACAGAATTAACAAATAGAAAAACCCACGAAAATCCACCAAAGCTAAGCAAATTCCACATCGTCTACAAGAAATAGAAATGTACATCTACAGCTCATCTATAGGCAAGTGATTGCCCCAAAATATGCCTCCAATAATGGATATAAAATTTGCTAAATATTACTTCATTTACTCATTTCTATATGTTCTTTATTTCAGCTTTATATTTTAAACGAAATTATAATAAATCTATGCAATTCACTTCACAATGTCAATGAAATTCAACAGCATAACCACAGCACTGCCAACCCCAACTGAACACAAATCCTATTCTTTTCCCCAAAAAATCATATCTTTGATCGATAAGTACTTTCTTTTTGTTGGACTGTTTTCGTCTACATTTTGAAGAATTATGCACGAGTACATTTTACAAACATTTACTTGAATATGCAAGAGTTTGTCATGAATGATTGTTCAATGAACCAATGAACATCCCCAAATTTCTGATGTGATATGCTTGTAGGATACTTTAAAGGTACTAAGTCCCATTTGCAGGCCAAAAAAAATGAAAAGGTTAAATTCCAACAGCATTTGAAAGATAATACTAATTTAGAATTTCCCTTAAAAAAAGGGGGGGGGGGCTTGAAAATGTCTTTAAGTGGGAAAATAACGACTATTAGTTGTCAAATCGACTTAAGAGCTATAGAGCCAGTAAGTAAGTCTGATTTTTATACCATTGTACCGAATGGTAGTATGTTTTATGCTGCGCAAAGATTCAATCGGTTTAATTTTGGCCATTACAAGAAGCGGGTCATTGATGTAGACAAATGCTCATGTACCCTTTACAGCTCATTTTTTGTATGTTATTACCAAAGAAGAAAAAAAGCCAGTCAGTCACTCAATAGTGTCTGACAGTGAAGTCTAGCAAGTTAACAGGTTTCCTTGCATAATTTGAATATTAGGACACTGCTAATGTTTAAATTTCACAGATAGGACATACATGACATATTCATAATTCCTGCAAAGTTCTGCAGAATTTGATGTTGGCTGCAAAAGGGACATAGTATCTTTAAAGGGGAAAATGGGCATTTTGCTAATGAAAATGGCACACATGCACAAAATACACAAGCACATTCAAATTTTCAGGAAATCGTATATTATTGAGGAAAAATCGTACTGTCGTATTAACTTCTAAAAAATGTACTGGTTGGCAGCTCTGTAACCATGCAATGGGGGCATTTGGGCACATCCTTCCTGCTAATCTCCAGTGTTTGACACCCCCAGTTGAGTGAGTAGCTCCCCCGCCCATATATTGAATGTATCCTCATCATATATGCTTTTTTAATGGTTTTTAATAGGTAGATGAAGAATATTCTATGTGGGCATAAGATTAGGATAACGATTCAACTATATATATCTACAGTTCCTTGATTGAACAAAAATAAAACAATTAGCAAAATATCTATGCCCTAATTTCAGAGGGAGAGGGGGTGTCACAACACCATGTAAAACAAAGAACTCCTTTCACACATTTAGAAACAAGACAAATGCGATTGCGTCTCCTACATGCTTCCGTGCTAAATGCAGTATAGGAAATGGATGGATGGATATTGTGCTAACGAGGCTAAAACCTGTAATTTTAGAAATTGACCTCTGTGACCTTTGACCTATTTACCGAAAAATCTGATCTGATCACCTTACTATCATGATATATTTTATAACCAAGGCTGTATACTGTATAAAATTTCAGAAATTGTCCTCCTTGACCTTTGACTTCTTAAAGGTAAAGACCAGTATTGGAAACGCCCCAATTTTAAAAAGTGAAATGGAAGCTCTCATTACCAATCATGCGAAAGAATATGTTTTGACTAATACATGATGATAAAAAATTTGCCGGGAAACCGCCTACTTATTCATATATTTGGTAAATTTGTTTCTCTCATGGTCTGTGAGAGATATAGGGTAGTCCCATATACATCTTCCTGTGTATAGTGCTTGTAACTTTACGAAGAATGGGCCAAATTTCTTATCATTTTGATGATTCCAGAACCTTGCAGATGCTAGATGCTAGATGATCAACCTTTTCTGATTGATTCCACAACGTTTCTTTCACAATGCAATCGCCTGACCATAACTGGTCTTTACCTTTAAAGGCATAGTTTAACAATGTTAAATCTGAGATGCATTGCCCTACATGTTATTAGTGTCTGTGATATGGTGTAATATTGATGCCCTAAAAAAATTGGGCTTCAAAATGATCAAGATCAAGAACTGCCTCAAAAAAGTAAAAATCTTTGAGTGACCGGTTTTACCATGCTCGTTTTGTTGTCCTGCAAGGCTCTGGAGTCATTAAAATCATAATAAATTTGGCCCAGGCAGTCTTTAAAGTAACAAGCACTGTACACAAAAAGATGTATATGGGACTACACAAATGGTGTCGGGTCTACTTACCTTGATTTCCTTATCTTTAAATGCTCATCTCAGCCAATATACATTTTCTACCCAAATTGTTTGGCAAATGACATTTATTTGTAATCTTGAACATTCAGTGTAAGTTTCATTTGATTCTGTGAGAATTCATTTTCTTTTTTTACCAGAACTCAAGTTTATCTTTAGCTCACCTTCCTGTGGTCTATGGTGAGAGCTCTAAGCTGTAGCTCCAGTTCATTGCTAACCTGTGCTGCATCCAGGTGAGATGGGACCAACGGTGGACTGTTGGGCCAGTGAGTCTGAAATCAAATATGGGAAGGCCAAGGGGAGTAACAGATATTGAATTGAATTGAATTGAACTTCCAGCAAAGAAAAATACATTGAAATATATATACATATATTTTTTAATATTTTTAAAGGGAAAAAAAAAAGAAGACATGATTAAATTTACTAATAGCATAGGATGGAAAAAGGTGCATCCGTAAAAGCCACAGGGGCTTGATGAATGGGCGCACCCTGAGCAGGTCATAATATAATCAGCAATAGAAAAAGCTCAGTCAAGTGATATGCTGAACTTTGAGGACAGATTGCTTTTCAATCTGTTAAAAGTGCATTCAAACCTGCTGCAGTAGTCCCCTTTCCATAGTGAAAACTTAATTTCACTCAAGAGAAGAAGAAGAAGAAAAAAAAAATTTCTACAGAACGGCCAGTACAAAATAGCTAAAGGGTATCTGTTTTATAGGAAACAAATCCCCCCAAATATATATTCTCATTGGTTTGGCTTTCCCTAGTACACTAAGTTCAGAATATTATACCAGTATACTAGTTTAGTTCATAAATCTTTTTGTTTGCACTACATGGCATGTGTTAAGCAACAATTATTTTTCTTTTTATAAATTCCATAGTTGACAATATATATATACTTTTTTTTTAAAGTTTCTTTATTTACTTGATTTAATGTTTGTAATGTAATAATGATTTTCGTTTCATTTTGTGCTTTGTTTGGTTTCTGTATTTGCTGTTTTCATTACTATGATTGTAAGGCAAGGGGAATCGCTGTTTTATTGCAGGCCATCAACTTTTTAATGCGATTCCCACAATTTTATTATATATTATATCGGAGTATTTCATGAAATCAAATAAATTGAACTGAACTGAACTGGACTGAGAATAAAAGTAGAAGCATTTCTTACAATGTTAGATGGCCCACAGACAGATGCTAGTGCATCAGCACTCATGGCTTTCCATACTGATGAATCTTGAAGATCAAAGCAGCACAGCTCAACGTTGTCAGATGGCTGGAATGAGAAAATAAATTGAGGCTTAGTTTTCAGTAACTCAAGAAAAATTATGATTTGAGAGATATTTTCACATCAGGATCACATCTTCTGCATGCCTTCAGTGAAGTCTTGGACTATCAACTTACATTTCTTACCTTGTTTTATACATATATGTATTTTATATTAATAAATCATAATATCTTAAGGAGCATTCCTTCATTAAAGGCATCGTTTAGCAATGTTAAATCTGAGATGCACGGCCCTACGTGTTATCAGTGTCTGTGTTATGGTGTAATATTCAAGCCCTAAAAAAATTGCGCTTCAAAATGATCAAGAAGTGCCTCAAAAAAGTAAAAAAATTTGAGTGACCAGTTTTACCATACTCCTTTTTCCCCAATAGACTGTAGTGTTATGAAAACAGTTAGGAAAATGCAAAATTTGATTTCGATTTCCAATCATAAATATTTTGATGATCAGACAGGCGATCGGCTTGTAAAAGACATGGGGTTCCTAACTGACCTGAAGGTTTATAATTATCATTGCAGCATGAGCTAAATCCAGGATTTTGTTTCAGAATCTGAGACAAAGTTACCCAAATGTTTTTGCTACCAGAAGGCTACATTATTAAACTCAGTTAACAACAATATTCTTCCAAATATGTGATGGAGTCACAATTGGAGTAAAATCATCTATTTTTCATGATGATTAGACAATACTTCTTCTATATTTTTTCTATTTCTATCTTATCCTTTTTCACTGCATTTGTGTATTTTTGGCTTACTTTTCCACTTGACTGTGTGACACCAGCAGTTCTTGATCTACAGATCTAGTTCTAAAACTGTTACTAAAATCAAACCATAAGTGTAATATCACTGATAGTAAATCATTATAGGTCCTCTAATTTTCAGTCATTTTGTGTGATGAAACAAATGTGAAAGTTGTCTGCCACTAAATCACTGAGACATAACCGATCTAGCTAATTTGAAGAGCCCATATCCACAGTGATTACAACTTTCACAAATTCAAAACTTCTCATTTTTTGTCCAATTTCTTTCAAACTTTTTGCTTTCCTCAAGAGTAGTTTGCTATTAAGGTTGGATTTCATATTAAGATTTTGTGTGTGTAGTCCCACGTATCTCAATCCATGTACAGCTTCATATTGTCCATGGATTGGGGCACGTATATAAATGGTCGAAAATGATTCCATTATTCTATTTAGACATATAATTCTAATTTCAACCATTTTGGGCATAGAAGGTGGAAGAAATAGTGATTTTAATTTTGTTTGGGTCATATGTCTCATAATGCATTGAATGCCCTTCTGCTCAAGGCAGGGTTCTTGCAATGCAAGTGGATGAAACATGTGTACGTCAAGAAAGAAAAAATATTTCAAGTAAAAAATACCAAGGGTAAATTCTTTCGCACAAGGGTGTAACAACAGATATACTAAACAGTGATTCTTACTTCCACAATTCCCAGAAAGACTGTGTCCTCCAACCCTTCTGTTTGAGACACTGTAAGGCCGTTTTATTAAATTAGAACCATTGGTAGACAAATGTCTGCCAAGAATTGTACCTACCTGACAATTGGCAAAGAATGCCTTGTGATTGAAGACACAGCCTACTGTCCTGTAAGGGTGCTGTGGTCTGGGTTGTTCTACAGAAGGAGGATCATTGGGATTCACTTGATGATGAATATACCTTGACAAAGAACAAAGAATACAATACAATACAATAAAGTTATTTCTATGGTGCTCTTAAAAACTAACTGTTTTTTCACAGCACTTAACATAAATAGTGTGCTAAACACTACATACATGAATTTCAAATGCTGTGTTATTAGTTTAGTTGAAGAATCACTACACAACAATGAAGAGAGAAATATTTGATTAGGAAGCAAGTCTGAAAATCTCAAAATAAATATTTCTCAAAAATAAAGTGAATGAACATTACCATGGTGGTATGAAAAGAGCAAATAGTATGAAAATCTTCTGAAAGGAAAATTATGCCTTAACAATATCCTAAACAAGCTGTGAATGAAGGTATAAGCTTCATACAGCCACAAATTTAGTATACCATGTGTGTGTAGCAGCTGTATCACTGTAGAATGATAAGTGTGTTGAAAAAATGAACTGCATTGGTTCTTATGATAGTTTTACTGAACATGTTGATCAGCTGTAGCTCTTTTACAAAATTTATCATGCAGGAACAGAGTTAACTTTGATTAAACTTCTGTGCTACCCTCCATATGAAAACAGTCTTTCCCTCATGCTCTTTAATCTTCAACCCTTTGAATAGTTCAAACAATATGCAAACTAGTTTTTGGATAAATGGTCCCTTTAATTTAAAAGAAGCGAGTGTGCATTAAATACCTCTGACAAGTCAAGCTTTCCCAAAAGGTGACCAGTCCATCTGACCCCAGGGTCATAACCCAAGAATGAGCTTGACCTTTGCCCTTTGTGCCCACACAGATGAAGGCATTGAGACCAAAACCAAGAAGAAAGTGTGCATTACATACCTCTGACAGGTCAAGCTTTCCCAAAAGGTGACCAGTCCATCTGACCCCAGGGTCATAACCCAAGAATGAGCTTGACCTTTGCCCTTTGTGCCTACACAGATGAAGGCATTGAGACCAAAACCAAGAAGGAAGTTGCACAGTAATACGGCATGGTCCTCACAGTCCTGAATTCAACAGATAGGGATGTAGAGAAATGAAAGTGTTTCTTTGTTTATGCCCAAGAATTCATTGATTGGGAACATATTCCAGCACTTCCACTTGAATACTGACAGAGACAGTATACAATACAAATCAAAGAGTATTTCTGTCAAAATGACCTTAGTAATTTGATGCAAAACATTACATTGAAATTCATTGAATCTACAGTGAGTAAAAAAAAAAGTTTACACCTAGAAAATTGCTAATTATTTTGAAAATCAGCTATGAACGAAACGAAACGAAAAGAGTGTTATATCCCGAATCATTTGGTATCATTTTGCTTGGTATGTGTTCACGCTTGGATGAACAGCAGGCATTTTTAAGAGAGTGCAAAAACTAAAAACTCTCCCCTCCCTGCACCCACCCCCCTAGGGAGCACACTTTGCGTGCTCACTACTGCCCCCCTAAAATAAAATCCTAGCTACGCGCTTGTTCACTTCAATAACATACCATTTCACAAAATTGGTAGATTCCTGCCAGGATTCAAATAATAACAGCTATACAGTATTTTTTTGTAAAATTTCCTGTCCAAAATTTGCATCATGCAAAAGAACTCAATGGAAAGACTGTGTGACTTACCCCTTTGTTTTTTGAGAGGAAGGCGTGGATGCTGCTCCACATCTCTCTCGGTTGGCCACCCCCTACAGCAGACACTCTCTCATAGCCCATGATGCTGACGAAGCGGGCTGCGTGACGAGACGAGTCAAGAAGACGACCTCCACGCATCGGCTTCACAAAGGCACATACCGGTCTGTTGACTCCGTTCTCGTCCTGATTAGATGGACATATGATATATGAAATGAAGAACAAAAACGTTTTATATTAAGAGGAAGGCATGAACACTGCCAACGTACACTGCACGATGAGACAAGTCACGGAGTCCCCACCTATAATGTTCCTGTATCAAAAGAAACAGTTTTTCTTTCTTTAGTCAAATCAGAGTATCATATGGGCATGATATGCTGCCTATAGCAAGGATGGGGTGAAGCTGCAAGTTAGATAAGACCAATTCTGTGATAACTGATTGTGGTAACCTCTATCATGTACGTAGCTATTGAATCTCTTTTTCAATTTCGAAGCTTCAGCTAACACGTGTGTCAAACATGCCTTGAAATCTAAAAACCATAGTCAGAGAAGAAAATCTCCTTGGAGGGAATCATTTGGTATGTTTATAAAATGAAACCTCACCTGAGCAAATATTTTGACAAGCCTGTTCTGATGAGTTGATCTGATTTGAAGGAACTCCCGCCACCATTGCTTGGCATAGACCAGAAAGAGACGCTCTCGCTCAGCAATCCGATTTCTTTCCAAAGATATCTAAAATAACAAATGGGTTTCATAATAACTTCTTGTCACAGAAACATGGGTCAAAATAAAGTTTGGCAATCAATACTCCTACTCTGCTCTACATTACCCTACTAAAATGTTACACATGGAACCATACTCGCAGTTAATCTAGAACCTGGGCCCTGTTTCATGAAATTTGCTATCAATATCAAGTTACGACAAGTATTATAAGCTATTGAAATTGTGGCATTTGATTGGCTGAGAGTAACTTTGTCATAGAAACTTAGCATTAGTTAGTGTTAACAAGTTTTATGAAACAGGGCCCAGGTTTGGAATGCAGTGATACTCTGCTATACCTGACCTAGAACAGACTTGGTATTGGATTGATTGCTTTCCATCCTGAATAACCAGAAATATGCTTGATTATGTTTACATCCATAATCAGAGCCCAATACCTTGGCGATTTGCTGGAAAAATAAGAATAATCTTGATCGCAAAGGGTGAAAATGTATATTGTTGGTATGGTTGGCTACAAATCTCATATCTCGTCGCCAAAGATTTGATACAGTATTCCTATTTGTTTCTAGGCTGAGATAATATTTGAAAGTTTTAAACATTGCATGGTATATATGATCATTATGCAAGAAGCCAATATTAACATTGTTATCCATGTCACCCGTCCTCTGTTTGTATATATTCTTAACATCTTTGACAGCTCATGCATTAAAGGGATAGTTGAGTTCTGTTTTCAGACCGCAAATGCCTTCAAAGTGCGTGGTTATTGCTCTTATTCTTTCGATGACATTTCTAGTGCCCTTTAAGGACCTAAAATTGCTATGAAGCTAATTTTAGACCCCAAAATGTGTCAAATTTAGCCAATACAATCATACCAATTAGGCTCTACTTTAAAAAAAAATATGGTGACCGTTAATTAATTAATTAATAACAATACATGGGCCGGCTGGTTGTGCGTACTATAACCAACACAAAAAAGCCAACATCAGCATTGGCTGAAATACAACGTAAAAGGCGCTATTTCGTTTTTTCAACGGCTGGTTCAAATTATCGAATATTTGTGGTAGTACACAAATATTAGAAATTGTTATATTTATGGATATTTCAGCCGTCTCTCATCCGATTTTGATCGAACAAAGATGATTTTTTCATTTAAATTGAATGTTCTTTCAAATTTGACACTCAGTTTTTCACTCAAAAATTATTTTGAGTAGTGCCCTCTGCAACAGAACTCAACTATCCCTTTAATGTCTGGGGGTTTTGATGGTTCTATCTACTTAAAAGCACCTTACCTGAGTAGCAACAACTTCTTCAGTCAGGAGTTGGTCCATTTTAGGCAGTAATTCTAACTTGATTTCTAAAATACCCACTGGAACCTTAGACTCAGACCCTGGATAAAAAAGAAATGTACAAGTTCTGGTAAAAACAAAGAGTCAAGGAAAATAAAGACACAATTATTTTAAATCTGATGAACAATACATTTTTCTTTAAATGCTAGAGTGCACCTAGCCTGAAATATGAGTGATAGGCGTACATTCTCCAATTCAAGTGATTTGTGTGCAGGATCTGCAGCTCATTGCCATGATATACCAAGAACCTGATCCCTGTTCTTATTTATTAACCATCACTATCTAACATAAAAACCACTAGCAGTTTATAACTTGTTATCTGCCACTTATGCCTTCAAACATATCACAATTAAAGGGACAGCTCTCAATCATTGTCTCCTTTCTACGAGAGATGTTGTAGAGCGGTAGTAATGGCAGCATATGATACACCTATAACCGTCCACAGGAACATTTCCAGCCAACTGCACTTTTTAACACTAATGAACCTGACAAATGTTTGGGTGGGGGATTCCTGTCAACTCACCTACTCCTAATAGCTCAACAGGGATGTTCTGACTGCCAGCGGTGGTGCTTAGAACCGTTCTCCACTCAAGAAAGTGCGAAGACATGAGAGACGTTTCTCCTGAAGGATCCGTCTTGATGAGTACCAGGTGGATGGGATCAGCGAGTGACAGGAGGGTCCCAGCATCAGCCATTCTTGCAGCATCTCCTGTATAGAGACAACCATAGTATTGAGACGTGTTGAATAGGAAACATAGTTCAATACATTATATCTAGTATGGGGGATTACAGGTGACAAGAGGGTCCCAGCATCAGCCATTCTTGCAGCATCTCCTGTACATAGACAACTATAGGATTGTATGACTTGTTGGATAGGAAACATAGTCCAATACATTATATCCAATATGTGGGATTACAGGTGCAGGAGGGTCCCATGCAGCAACAGCCATTTCTTGCAGCATCTCCTTTATACAGACAACCATAGTATTGTACGACTTGTTGAATAGGAAACATAGTTCAATACATTCTATCTAATATGTGGGATTACAGGTGACAGGAGGGTCCCATGCAGCAACAGCCATTTCTTGCAGCATCTCCTTTATACAGACAACCATAGTATTGTACGACTTGTTGGATAGGAAACACAGTTCAATACATTATATCTAATATGTGGGATTACAGGTGACACAAGGGTCCCAGCATCAGCCATTCTTGTAGCATCTCCTGTATAATTATAGACAACCATAGAATTGTATGACTTGTTGGATAGGAAACATAGTCCAATACATTATATCCAATATGTGGCACTACAGGTGACAGAAGGGTCTTAGCATCAGCCATTCTTGTAGCATCTCCTGTATAATTATGGACAACCATAGAATTGTATGACTTAATTGTTGGATAGGAAACATAGTCAAATACATTCTATCTAATATGTGGGATTACAGGTGACAGAAGGGTCCCATGCAGCATCAGCCATTCTTGCAGCATCTCCTTTATACAGACAACCATAGATTGTATAACTTGTTGGATAGGAATCTTAGTCAAATACATTCTATCTAATAATTTTAGAAAAAACAGAAAAATTCAACATGCAGTCTATGAAACTTGATTGTTCAATAACCAATTATTTTATATTACTGTATAATTAATAATGGTTTATTGATATTAATAACCCATTTATCTTTGTAAATTCAAACAGATGGTTAATACGTTATTATGATGTTGATCATAATAGAAGGTACAAATTAAGTCTATCAAAATACCACAGGAGAATGATTTTTAAATTTCCTTCAGGTACCGGTAGTCACAAATCTGTGATTTTTCTTTCTTACCTCCACTCCACCTGTGCATCTCAAGTACAAAACCCTCTCGGAAGTCTGGTTCACAGGCACAAGGGACCGGTCTGGATGTGAACCTCTGTCCTCTGAAGTGTATGTGGATTGTAAAGGTCGATGTGGTTTGACCAGGTAAGGCCTCGGGTTCCTGCAAGTGCTCTAGGAATGCCTTGCCACCGAGGAGGTGAAAGTACAGTTGGCGTCTTGTGGGGTCTATGTTTGCTGTAAGAAATCAAAGCATTTTAGGTGATTAAACTTTTAAAATCATAACCTTTATATAAAAAACATTTAATATGTCCAAGAATTGTATTGAGTATTAAACGAAACATGACAGATCGTGTGTTGAACTGAATTTTTCTGCCTGAAAAGGAAAAACAAAATTAAACGCTCGATAAAGCCTCTTTCAGATATGATGCGGCAAAACCGCAGCGTTTTTATTTTTTATTTTTTTAAAAAATAATATTGACGATAAGTGTTATACAATTAACATTTCTGTATCTTATAACACAAGGCTCAGTGAATATGCTCAAGACCTTTAATACTTGCAGTTGCCATTCATTTACACCAGAACAAAACAATATCTGAACAGGCCGTAAGTAAACAATTTCTTAATATGCTCAATCCCAATCAAAGTAGTCCATCTGAAATATTGTTTTGTAAAGTATTCACAAAGAAAAAATTATGAAAATACATGTACAACAGGAATGTCACAAATTGGTGTACTTCAGGAAGTACGGATTCGAAACTAACGTTGTGTTTGAAAAAAATTAAATTGACATCTTAATATGATATCAAATATTTTCCAGACTATAGCAATAACTCATTCAAAGAATGACAAAGTTTACGAAAGAATGAAAGGATTTACTACCTGTTTAATCTCTTTCAAGAATGACATATTTTTAAATCACATTTTGAGCATAACTTGGTGACTAAACACATAATACAGCTTTTAACACTGACATGCTCTTCAAAACCCTAAGACCAAACTTAAATAGCCTACAAACCTTTCTTGAGAGGCACTGTAGTCACTGGAGCCTCTTTATCTAAAAAGTGAGTAGCTGGCTTGACCCGACCCCTCGAAGGCTGACCCACGACCTTCGACCTCACATTGCTTCTTCCTTCTCCGATTTCAAGCCTTTCCATAATCTCCTCCACCAAGCCTCTCTGGCGGACCGCATCCAGTAGCTCCATCTCTCCAAACTCAGGTCCTCCTCCCTCTCCGTCGTCTTGTAAAGATTCAGACAGAATGTCTCGGATGCGAGTCTGGACATCCATCTATATCGAAGAAAAATTTATCATTTAATGGGATTTCTAAAAGATGGAAGAAGTAGATGTGGATCTTTATTGATAACAACATACACCTAGATTCTAATACTAATATTTTACTAAAATGTACAGATTACTATAAAAACTATGTTAAAACTTTACATGTTCTACATTCTAGCTGTGTAAAAGGCAACTGCTCATAAAATTAAATCCAGAGAGAGGTCTATATACTCCATACAACAGAGTGACCTACATTTCATCATTTTCATCAAAAACATTTATTGGACAAAATTAACTACAACACACAGGTGTATGAGTGTGCTATACGCTAACTCGAGGGAGCTCTACCAGCAGAGCTCTACCAGCAGAGCCCCACCAGGTGTGCAGGGAGATGCGAGGAACTCCCTGAGGTATGTAAACATGTACACCAAGTCACTGACACCTCCAGTTCCACTCTGGTACTATATATTTACAAAGGAAGCTAGGCAAGATACAAAATTGAAGGTACAGTACACACTAAGACTGGAGCTGATACCTTGATGCACATGCACCTGCACTCAGCTTATGGCCCGGTCCCACTGGCCGATGGACACAAAACGTTTTCCAACGGATGGCAAAAGATTTTTTTACATTTTACATCCTCTTTGCATCCGTAAGTGCAGTGGGACTGAGCCTTTAGCAGACATGCAGGCAGTCGAGCACTTGTGGGGAAATGGAATCGTTCAGAATATGCAAAGTGGTCTTTCACACAGAACACTCATCTATATGAAGGGGTGACCAAAGTTCGCAGACATTTTAGAACATATTACAAAATATGATATTCAATCTATGATTTCTCATATTATACACAAATTTTTTATTTCAATTATTACCAAATGAACGGCAAAGTTTTACTACTACAGATTGGTTCAACTAGAAAATTTATAGGCGAAGGATTTTGGAGGTATCTCAATCTAAAAATTTGATGTCCGATCGTGCGTGCACGCTGCATCTAAAAAAGTCATAAAAACGAGACCTAACTTCACGCACGGGGGTTTACAGTTGATTTATCAAAAAATATGTGTAAGGTAATATCTTAATTTGCAGGGCAAGATATTATACAATCAGTTGGTACCACTTTTTACTTACAATTTTGAGGAAATCTGCTCTCAAATTGAAGAATTTCAGACCCTTTATCGGTAAGTTGATAATTTTTCGGAACGGACGCAAAAGATCGCAAAATTTGCCGATCTTTTGTCAATATTTTCATAATTTTGTACCCAATTCCAAAGAAAATTTCATATCTGGGTAATTTTATGTTCCTCTTTCCATTTTTTGAGATAGCGAACTTAGGTCACGCGCGAACTTTGGTCACACTACCATACCCCGAGAGGGTGTCAAAGAGTCAATAAAATGATAAAACTCTACTGCAATAAAAGATTACCCGGTAGTCAAAGTTTACTGATCTGCATGCCAAGCAAACGTTTTGTTTGGGTTTCCCCAATGCCACTTTACTCAGTCTAGTCGATAGGCTAAGACAAGTTTTCTCATCACAGGTCACTACAATTAACAAGGTGCATGATGTGTTTACCTACTAGGGGACACTTAATTTTATTTCTTCATCCTACAGAAAAGCTTTTTAATGAAATGTCTTTAAAAGTTTGTGAATAACAAATAAGATACAGATGAATGAACTCTATTTACTTAGAAGCGGTGAATCCACAGCACTTAGCGAAGATCATCAAAACAATGGAACCATTCAAATTTGCATGAATAAAAAAGCCTACTCTTATTACCGGACGCTTAATTTGTCAATGAACCTCAATCAAATGCTGAGAAAGAAGTAAATCATTACACAATAATTCCAATTCCAAATGATCAACAATATCATAATTATACAAAATCTAATAATGTAGAAATAAAGACCATCTCTGAAAATGTTGTGCTTAAAATAACATTTCTCCTGTACAAATATGAGATCTCCTGTTTTCCCTATAGTATAAAAACTGCACAATTGTGAACTTTACCTATGGTGTTAGTGTAGTTAAAGAGAAGATTCATTGATTTAAAAACTAACTTAATTGACATTTTTGCAAAGGTGAAACTTTGATTGGACAAGTTATCAAAATTCAATGCTTGCCAACATTTGAAGTAGTGATTATCATCAATTACAAAACACTTAAATACAGCCCCGTCATAGCACCTGAAGAGCTCTCCGAACGCTGTTGAGATGTGTGACGTCACATGTTGAACACTATTTGCACAAGCAGACGATGTCTCATGACATCTCACACATTTTCAACTTCTTCTCTTCAGTTATTTCTCTTACTTTACCTTTACCTTTACCCAAGATTCTGGAAGAATGCTGTGTTCTCAGCAGTCGGGTAGTTGGGTGTCTTCATCTTGGTAAGTTTGTCTGGCTCAGTTCTGTGTCGGGTATTCTACTCATGTGGGGAGCAGAAACGCTTGTCTGTCCATGGCATACTCGAGCCAGTCTGGCTTTAAAGGCATTCACCGGGCCGTGGTAGCAGTGACTACCTCTTCAGGAAGTGTGTTCCAGTCATTGATGACTCGTTGGCTGAATGCATCTTGCCTAATCTTGGTTGAGCATCTTTGTTTTAAGATCTTTAGACTGTGGCCTCTTGTGTTGTTAGTTGAGTGTTCAAAGAAGGTATTAACTGGGATATGCGTTTAAGTCCATGGATGATTTTGAAAACCTGAATCATGTCGCCTCGCCATCTACGATATACGAGGGAGGGAAGGTTGAGCACCCAAAGTCAAAGGTGTGTAAGGACGGTTGTGGATGTCTTTTCATTTTGGTGGCTCTCTTCTGCACCCTCTCGATGGTTTTGGAGTCTGTCTTGAAGCGAGGGTACCATATGGAATCTCTGTAATCTATGAGAGGTCTGATAAGGCCTAATTTGTACAGCTTTGGGATTGTGGACCTTTGCTTTCTTGACAGCATATGCCACATGGTTATGGAACTTTAGCTCGTCATCAATGAGGATGCCGAGATCTTTCTCCTCTGATGTAGCTTCAAGGACATCATCTCCAAGGGCATAGGTGTGTTTGACGTTACCTGGGCCTATGTGTAGTACTTTGCATTTTTGTGTGTTGAATATCTATTGCCTCACTCTAAACCTGCGCATGGTATTATTTTGATGAAAAATGCAGCGATAAAAAATTAAGGAATCCGTCACTTGTAAACAAAATAAGACTCCCTTGTAGTCTAATTGTACTTTCAGCTGCATACACTGCGGTATATTCGGCATTGCATGATGGATCACATTTTTTTATAAATCAGCTGCAAACCCCCATGCGCGAAGTAAGGTCTCATTGTTTTTATGACATTTTTACTTGCGCGCGAGCACGCACGATTGAACATCAAATTTTTAGATCGCGATATCTACGGAATCCTTTGACAATAAATTTTCTAGTTGAACCAATTTGTACTAAGAATAAGATCTAGTAAAAAATTTCGCCGTCCATTTGGTAATGATTGAAATAAATAAATTTGTGTAGACCCTAAGTCACCCTATAAAATATGAGAAATCATAGATCGATCATATTTTCTACAAGTAACAGTTAGATCTACAACTTTGTACAAGTAATAGAATCTAGATTTCTAGTCTAACGTTAGACTAACAGTTAGACCCCAACTACATTCTAATATCTGCGAACTTTGGTCACCCATAGTTCATACATGTGTTTGAGGAAGGAGATAAATGTTAGTTTTATTTAAAGAAATTCCAATGCCAGACGGTTATGAGTTGATTTCATCACTACCTTACATCACCTCATCAGTTAAACTTTCAACTTCAAACTCAAGTTCAATCAACTTTATCAAGTTCATGTTTTTTCAATTTCCAGTTTGCATTTTATCAAATTACCTGATTAAGCTGGTTATGAATGATCTGTTTCAGCTCTGTAATTTTTTCAGGTGACAGTGCTCCAGCCATGGTTGAAAGTCTTGAAATTCTGAATTTCAATCTTTGAAAATAGGAGTTCCTCCCAAAAACAGCGAAGAGCCAGGATCTACTTAGTACTTGCTATCGCTTTATCGCGGCCGGAGATCTCAGGTCATGCTAGACGCTCGGGGCCGGGCCGGGCCGGGGGATCGGAGCTCCGGCGGTACGGTGTGTGCCGCGTTCGAGTAGATTTTGGATCGGCGGAGCGACCGACTGGCGCTGTTTTTTTCAAACGACACTATTGGCCCTCTACGACAAGTTCTCTCAAATATAATATATATATATTTTAATGTCTTTTTATGTTCATGCCTTCTTCATGCATGCATGTTTCATGCTTTATTTGATGTAAATAGTAAAAGTTTAATTGTATTATTTAGATGTGAATGTAAAATCATATTCTGTATAATAATATTAAATTGCAGATTATTTTATGTGTTGATTTTGTTATTGTTTGTGAAAAGCAATGGAAAAAATAAAATATCATTGGAAAAAAAAAAAAAACAAGATCAGAATATCACACTTTTTTAGTTGATTGCCAGTACTTCACAAACTAAGAACACCTTGTTAAATTATTTGAAATGTTTTATCATAATACACAATATTTCGGATTGTATTTTGTTTGTCTCTGTAGCGGTAACCCCCCCCCCCCCCAAAAAAAAGGAGCCCTTTTTGACGAAAATATTTTGCAACCTCTTTTTTAGTAATTCAGAAAGTTCAAAGGATTAGGAGTGTTGAGTGGAATGCAAGTAATATTCCTATAAATTGCGGAATACACTGCTCTTGTTCTTATGCACATTTTTCTTTCTTTAATGGGTGTAAGTCAGATGTGTAGTACAGGTACACTGCCTGGAAACACTGGTGCTTACCAATGTCAATGCACTTTGAAACTTTTCACTTTCGACCCTGCCCCTTATTCTGATGTACTATTCATTCTAGGTCTGCAAAATCATAACAAATATGGTATCATTTTAAAGAGGAATAAAGATACTTTCTAATGGTACCTAACAAACCATCTATGATTATCCCATGACAAGAGAGATATGATCGATCAAACTTGAGTTTCCAAATAAAAATTAGGGGTTTATATGATCTCAGGAGAAATGTTTCTGAAACCAAAATGCAATTTGTTTTTGTTAATTTGAGCCAGGAAAATTTCTATCACTAGACACTCAATATTTTTGCCTTTTCTCTTTCCAACACCCTTGCCTTTTCCCTTTCTAACACCCTTGCCAAGCATTATACCTTACATTTGTACACAATTTTTACTACATCGTTTAAAATTTCTTTCTAAACTTCTTCATTTAAAGTAGAATTCTATGTATTACAACTACATGTACAGTATTACCTATACAGACTTGAGTTGAGCCAAACACATAGTGCTCATATAAAGTATAGGTAGTAAACATTTACACTGTATCAAGTTTTACCGAAATATATAAAAATAGGAATATATGAATACAGAAATATAGAAATAATAGAGATTGAGAAGAAATGTATAAATAGAAAATAGAGAAATATACTAGTAATATAGAAAAACTGAAATATAACTACCGGTATAGAAATATAGGAAGAGAATCATTATGAGGGCTGGATCAAGAAAAATACTCTTTAGCCTTGGCTTTTTATTTTTGAAAAAGTTATCAAATCCCAAATGGCCATAAGTCCAGACCAGTTGAAAAGGAAAAGAGATTCAAACCAAATACTGTAGATTTATCCATCCACATACATATACATCTACATCTATAGGACTATCATTTCTAAGAAATAATCATCACAAACCACATACATACGACACACATATGACCACGTCTCCAAAACTGGCATTCAATATCTTCAGTATTCACATCCAACAATGAAAACAAAAACAGAGAAAAATAACACTGAGTCAGACAATAAATTATTTCCACGTTTCTAATCATTTTCAAAATCTTGACATCACTAATTCCACATAAATTAGATTCATCATGGAACTCGAAAGAAATAGTATATAAACTTCTTGTCAATAATAAACATACAGTAATATGTGAATACCACAACAATCAGCTGTTATCTGCCTTTATCAAACATGTTGCCTTAAAAAATAAAACTGTTATAGGAAGGAATAGAACTATATAAAGCCAATATAATCACTGAAAATAATGACCATACCTGGATTGTATGTCTATAATTTTTTGTTTTCATTAAATGAGTTTTGTGTAGTACATGTATTCAGAAAAAGAGACTTTAGTAGTTGATGTATATCATATGTTTGCAGCAAAATTATGATATTTCCCACTATGCAGATCTGGAATGTAAGCATAGGTAATATACTGCTGTTATCAGGAACCATTATACACTTTCATAAATCTTGATTAGCAGAAGTTAACTATATGCCCGCTTACTGAATTTTAGAGTACTGGACAAGTGGTGATTTCATTTACATTGGTTTACTTGTCCTTGGAATACAAATCACAACAGAAGGATGAAGGAGTAATACAAAAGCATCCCCTCATCCATCTTTCATTACATAAATAAAATCTGAATTTCAGAATAAAGTAATCTTGAGTGCATAAATGCGAGATGTTATACCAACTCACAATGTGTTAATAGGAATACGGATGTCATTACAGACACATCAACCCACTAATTGATATGTGTTAACAATTACAAATTTGACTAAATTGCCAGATACATCCCCTCAAACATTAATCAGAGAGAGATTAAAGTACCTAAACAAAGAATTGTGGTATTTGTTTGGGGATAGAATACACAAGAATCCTCCTCCCATTCATCCTACAATGAAAAACTATTCCAAACGCAGGGTCATGCAGCGTAAATGCCAAAGCGGCGGATACATCATATGAAAGAGAAGGGAACGAGTGTGTGCAAGACGGGTCTAATAACGGTAATGATCAGGTTTGAATGGTCCCTGTGTGTTCAGTCCAAGGTATGTGGATTGTTTGGTGGTGAGGTGGGTCAGTTTGACATCCAGATGATCCAGATGAAGACGAGCTACCTCCTCGTCGAGCTGAGAGGAAAATCAAGTAAAAAAAAGAGAGAGATGGTTACCATGCATGAACTCTTAAATCCCATTCAGACACTCGATAATCATTCACTTTGTGCATTAATGTCAGGCACAAGGCAATATTTTACATAAATAAGAAACAGAAGTTCCGGTAAGAAGCATATTTAATCTTTCTCATTCAGTTATGCAGGAGCGGGGAGGGGGGGGGGGGCACTTGATTTCATATACCACTTGTACAAAAATTATAGTATTATCAGAATTACGTACATTCAGAAAAATAGCTAGTTAAGCAATGGACTGCCCTGATGACAAGCCAAAGGTGCTTTAATAGTTGTATGCCTTTATCAATGTGGTGTAATTGTGTATAACCAAGGAACGGACACGGATAATTGCACCAAGCATTTAATACGCAGATAATTGCACCAAGAATTTAAGACACAGAAATTCAAAGAACGTTTGTGTAATGGCCACTTACTCATGCATGTAATCATTGTCTCCATTTGTTGGCCATTAGAGCCATACCATTAGAGCCTAGTTTGTCTGTAGTTCCCCTCATTATTACCCAAACCCTTAAGAAAAAACACTGTGACTGCCCATATGAGAATACTTACCGTCTTGGGGAGCATAACAACGCCAACCTTGTACTGGTCTGCCTTGGTCCAGAGCTCAAGCTGGGCCAGGACCTGGTTGGTGAATGAGTTTGACATGACGAAGCTGGGATGACCCATGGCGCAGCCAAGGTTGACCAGACGGCCCTCGGCCAGGACAATGATGTGCTTCCCACTGGGCATAGTGTAACGGTCGACCTAAGGTGAGAAAAATTGGGTGTAATCACATCGGTATCGATAATAAATAGTTAAATTTAAACCAAGGTTTAAGGTTTGGAAAAACACAACATTTTTATAAAGAATGTCATATTCCTACTTCATTTGTCCTAGGCATGCATGTATGAACATCTTTTTTAATTTGAGGGGGAGGTTTGGGGGATAGTTTGGTATTGGTTATGTAAATAAACACTTTGCATACAACTTTTTTCCATATAATGTGGCAATGAAATTTGTGTAACACACAAGATCCTATCAATTTAGAACCTCAAGGTACGATGTACCGTATGCAGAATCATTAATCATACCAGCAATATCTAGATATGTCTAAAGTAATTTTATTACAATCATACTCAGTTATTCATATTGACTGTGAATATTTCTCCTTTCAAATTTCACACCAGTTCAATTTCATTATTCTTTTTACACAAGGTACCATGAAGCGTATGCATGTCGTGACAGAATCATTAGGGACTTTTAGATTGGCACGAAGACAATAGGTCTATGCTACGATCAACGTCCTTTTAATGCACTGCCTTGAATGGACGTCACACGTATCAGTCCACGAAAATCTAAAAGCCCCTATTTATACCAGCAATATCTAGGTATTGAATATTTCTACTTTCAAATTTCACAAAATTTCAATGTTTTTTCACTGCAAAGAACTTACTTCTTACTTATGTCTTACAGGGTAGATGAATCATCCATCAAATTGTGGTTGACCAGAGCAGGCATTAAGTACCAAACACCCTCCCTGGAACCTTTACTGCTCGGGTCAAAGGTTAAAGGTCATTCAACTAACCTGTGGTTTGATGGTGTCCTTCTTGGCATTGGCATTCAGCCAATCCAGATCAATCTCACAATCGAAATGGCCGATGTTGCAGACAATGGAGTCATTCTTCATCTCGGTGAAGTGACGCGCCTCGATGATTCCACTGCAGCCGCTGGCGGTAACAAAGATGTGTGCCTTCTTGCAGGCTTCATCCATGGTTGTCACTTCATAACCTGACAAAGAAGGCGTTAAGTAATGGTGGATGTTAAGAGTAGCATTGGTACAGCATTCAAAGTACATGTATTTGTAAAACAAGAAACTTCAAAGCATCACTCTTTTGCGATTGGTCAAAATTACTAAGTTTTGTGCCATGAAAATCACAACAGTAAATGTTTGCAAAATGTTTTGCTGGGAAAAAAAGCTCATAACAAATCTCGACGATTTGTGTCCTGACATTTTCTAGTTTTACAGTACTGGCCTCTTGTACAGCACTCATATCCATTGAGTGTTGGTGCTCAGAACTTGCTACAGCTGGCTACCCGCATTTCAATGAACCTGGGGTTTGCTTGCAAGAATGCTGCATATCATGAAAGGATGTAATGGCAGGTGCTCTGTCGGCCACAGCCATACAGTCAATTAGTGACACTAACTCCTAATTCCTGACTTCATCCCTGAAATAACCTTAATCCTAAAACCTAACTGATAATTCAATCACTACCAAAGCCCCAATGAATAGCCCTATACATTTGACAAAATAAAACCTAAAGAACAAGTCAGCTCACCCATTGAACAAAATGGTATTCTAATTCATAATAAAACAGTACTTTTATTCAATATATCTACACCCGACTACTTTAACAAATCTAAAATAGGTCCTCGATATGAACAGGGCAGCTCTGATAGGAATAAATTAAACTGAAAAGGATATTCTGGGTTTTTTTCTTGATAATTCAAAACCAGCAATGTGAACAAGGTGACTCTGAGACAAATGCAATGAATAATGCATTATCTCTTGCTTGCTTTCCTGCTCTGTGCATGGTTTAGTTTAGCAGATGTGGACACACCCAGACTGAACAAGAAAATGCTTAGACTGCGAATGTGACCTGCATTTCATCTAAAGGAAGATCAAGTATTCTAGTATAACTTATTCAACCTAACACTTTTATCATTTCAACCAATTTTGCTCCATCTTGGATTTCAAGTGAACAGCTTCTTAGAATTTCTTCCAATATCACAATATGATTCATAATAGACCACTTTACTCCTCACAACTAAAAAGTTTGCCTGGTTCCTGCATTTATAATGCAAGTATACGATGTGGACTCTGCCCAAAGTAGTGGGCTCTTATCATGGGGAATTTGACACCATTCAGGCGTTTAATAACTTTGTTGTTGTCAATCACCAGGATTAGCCTTCAGTTTTAAGATCAACATGCCTTGTTTAATGCTCTGCATTTTCCACTAATGGCCCCATATTGAAAAGTCATTATATAACATTTCCTTCCATAGAAGAGTACCAGAGGGGGGAGGGGGTATATTTTATGGGACTACTGGCTTGCTGTGTGTGAGACTTGTTCACCCAAGGTATTTCCATCAAGTCTGGTGTCAGTACATGGAAACTGACAACCATTTCCCTTTAATAACAGATGAAGTTCTTGCTGAAGCTCAGAACAAGTAAATGAAATGTCTTCCTAAGGATTTGTTCCAGCTGGTTGAAAAGATTTTGACACTTGGTCATTTAGAGCCCGTCTGTACTGGTTTGGCCATAGGGGATTAGACCTCCATGCAAAGTCACTGACAGGTGGTTATCTCATCAAATCAGCTCTCAATTAACATAAGAAAAAGGGGTTCATGGGGGACCAACAGGCACCGATTAGGCATTGTTACTATATAGAGAGCGCAAGTAGCTACAAGTAGTACAATGGGGCTTTAAGGTACTTGGAACTAGAAAACTCACCTTCCATGGAGGCCTGAAGAGCGTTGATTGGATCGACCTCTGTGATAATCACACGAGCACCGAAAGCCCTCAAGGACTGGGCACTACCTTTGCCCACATCACCGTAACCAGCGACAACACAGGTCTTTCCAGCCAACATGACATCAGTTGCCCTCTTGATACCATCGACGAGTGACTCACGGCAGCCGTACAGGTTGTCAAATTTGCTCTGTAATGTATAATACATGTGTATGTGTTACTGATGATTATTTTGATTCTAAATTTCATCTTCACATAGATTTCATGAACTTTTCAAAGTGCCACAATACTCCAGTTCATGGTCAGCACATTACTTTAATGACCCTGAATATCCACAGATCTTCAAAACATGAAGAGGTCCCACTTTGTACATTTTGAAATAATCACTCCTCCAGCGATGGAGGTGCTGGATAAATAGCCTTTGTTTCCCCTTTTCAAAGCAGGGCTTAAATTAATCCAAGGCCACCAAGGCCATGGCCGTGGATGCCCTTTTGATTGGCCTCAATGCCCCTCTCATTGGCCTTGGAGATTTTGTGTGCCCTTTCAAATTATTCCTATTTGTGCTGTAATATAGGAATGTGCCCTTTTGAAAAGTGGCCTTGCCCTAAAAATATTGAAATTTAAGGCCTGTCAAAGAATACTTCCACCTGTGTATCATGAAGTGCACTGAATGTGCATGAATGAATAATGATTACATAACTTTCATGAGCGCGTATCCAGTATTTCGTCCTCGTGTATTTCAAAATTTGTTCTGCAATGACCTTTTTCTGCTCATGCTCAGACTGAAACTGGCTTATTACAGTCAAACTTGTCTTTAGCAACCACCCAAGGGAAACACAAAAAGTGGCCTTTGTAGACAGGTGGTCTTTGTAGACAAGTTCCTTTAGTACATGATTCAATGAGAAACCATTTCCAAGGGAAACAACAAATGTGGCCTTTGTAGACAGGTGGTCACTATAGCAGGTTTGACTGTATTTCTTCACATGAAGTCTATTCAATGTCACTCATATATTATTTAAAATTTGAAATGGGCTGCATTAATTGAGAGGATTGTGTTTATTGCCTTACCTTAGTTACTGAATCATTGACATTGATGGCTGGTATTTTAAGCTCTCCCTTCTCCATCATCTTGTAGAGGTTGTGGACTCCAGTGGTAGTCTCCTCAGATAACCCCTTGATGCCTGTAAATGCAATAGTTTGATCATAATGCATATCATATACTCAAGACAGCTGGATTTTCAGTCTACTAATCATGAAAGGAGTGTCAACAAAATGAAAAAATTAATAGATTTCATCATCGACTGAACACCAAACAAACATAAGTTCCATATGGAGAAACTTGATCGCATAAATGAATAATGGTTTACCAATTCATTTGTCAACAATGAAGCTAGAATCCAGGTGAATTTTTTTCTTCTCACATAACAATGAGAATAAAAAAAAATTTCTTCATCACCACCTGTACAAAAATAAAGCTCGACTTCAGAAACCAAATTCTTTTTTACACACTTAATAAATGGCAAAACAGACATCTTTTCTGTGGTACCAGTTTCTAAAAGGGTGATAATACAGGGGGGGGGGTGTTTCATACAGCTGTTCGTAAAGTTACGCATGACTTTATGAACAACTATATGTATATGAAAAGCCAAATGGGATGCTCAATCATTATTGATTATTATTTATCAAATTGAACTGTGCAGATGTGGATTAACATTCTTATTATAACAACCATTTTTAATGCAAAGTCTATTTTTTGCCATAATTTAATTGAGGTTATTGGAAATATCAGAAAAAACTTTAGACATCCTATCTGGCACTTCATAAACAAGTCGTTCGTAAAGTCATGCGTAACTTTATAAACTCTTTATGAAACACCCCCCTGGAAACACAATTAAAAATCTGTTGGAAAGAGTTGTGCTGTCATCTTTGAGGTAATCTGGGAGGACTTTGGGTGTATGAGATTTGAAAATTTGCAAATAAATCTGTCTAAACAAGGCTGTATTTGTTCTGACCTGGAAGGTACTGTGGGTATTTGGTGTGGACTAGGTTGGTGAGATCACCGCCATCATCAAGGATCAGGTTGAGTGGCTGTCCATCAGGGAAGACAATGGTCTGCTCAACGCACCAGATGTATTCCTCATCGGTCTCTCCCTTCCAGGCATACACTGGCACCCCCGTCTTGGCAATGGCAGCGGCCGCGTGGTCCTGGGTGGAGAAGATGTTGCAGCTGGACCATGTGACCTGTTCATTATTAAATAGGGAGGAAAGGGAGAGAAATTATGAATAAAGGAGTGATTCCAGTGGACAATAGGAAATCTCCCTTTTGTGCCTCCAAGGCTCCAAGTATAATAGTAGATTTATCAGACCAAATTTTCAGTAAAAATTTAGAAAGTGTTACACTTTTCAGATTAAAAATGCAATTATTGATAGCTTGCCAAATTTCAGTAGTCTATCATTTGCCTTGCAACTGTGTTAACGTTGAGCTTTAGCAAAAATTCCCTTTATTTTGTCATTATTTTCCATCATTTTGAAACATTCATTAACAGCACTTCATAAATACCATGTACTAACTATTATCTGTAATATAATAACAGAATTTGTGGTGGAAAAGTTGTCAATGTGTACATCTTCCTAGTTCCTACACATAAATCTTTGTGAATAACCTTATAATGGCATAGAATCAGAACTCTTTAAAGCAAATATGTTAAAAAGCACACACCCACTTGGATTATATAACTGATAAGACAATTGTCCAGATGATAGCTTGGAGGCCATACAAGGATTAATTTAAAGATGATCTACACATTACAAAATTATCTTAATTTCACAAAGGAGAAAGGCAATTGCAATTAGTCATACAATTCTGCAGAAATTTTTAAAAATATTCAAGAGATGAACAAAGCAAACAAGTTGTTTTCTTGTTTTTCCAAATCAGTTTGAGCATTATTAAACAGTTGGGAGTTGCTATGCAATGCTTTCTGTACAGACTCCTTTAAAGATCAAACAAGAATTGCATGATAAGCACAGTCTGTTTCTTCACAACTCAAACAAAGAGGTAGAATGATCTATAAAACAAATATTCCAGTGAAACTTGGGATGGGAGTGAATGCAAAGTTTGCTGAAGGGCTCGGCGTAAAGGTCGTTGCATGCATAGTAAACAAAAATGCCAGGTCAGCAGTTTTTCTTGTGTTGCAATACTTAGTTTGGGGGCTTAATTCTTTTACGACAGAAAACTTTGCTTCATCAAAAGCCTTATTCATCTTAATTATATCAAATTTAAAAAAAGAAATAATCCACTAGAATCCAGAATGACACAAAAATAAAGTGAAAACTAAAAATACCATTTGAAATTTAATTTGAGAAAACTTATGCTAATTCTCGGTATCGCCAATATATTTTTTCAACCTACACTGTATTACATTCACGCCCAAGTTGTCTCTGGTCTATTTCGGGCGGCTGCACTAAGAATTTTTTTTTTAATGGCTGCACTAAGCATGCCAGAGTTGATTGTGTGTGCATGTGTAATTTATTTCCAACAGTAATCACAGTGATTTATCACGCTTTCAAGCAATTTCAAAATCATTACAGAAAATGAATCTATTGTTAAACTTATTGACAAAATAAAGTACTTGGATGTTTGATTTGATTTATTTATTTCTGTTTGATTTTCTTTATCTTTTGCATTTTTACAAATATATAACAAACAGACCATTGCAACTTTGGCACATTTCATAAGAACATAATGTCAAATAAAGTAAGGCTGGCTGTAACTAATCGAAAAGGAATCAAACAGGAGGGTTGACAAAATAAGCAAAGCTACCCTCAATGGATACATAATAATACAAATACTTGGATGTGTGATGGGCAATTGTTGTTTTTTACATATAAAAGAGAGATGATCATAAAAGAAAAAAGGTATGTTAAACTTTGATTTGCAAAAAGAACAAGATTAAGATTTGTTATCAATCTTACTTCAGCTCCAAGCTCTGTGAGAGTTTCAATGAGGACAGCAGTCTGGATGGTCATGTGAAGACAGCCAGCAATGCGGGCCCCTTTGAGTGGCTTACTGGGTCCATGCTTCTTCCTCATCTGCATCAAACCTGGCATCTCGTTCTCAGCAAGTTCCATCTCCTTGCGGCCAAATTCGGCCAGGCTGATGTCAGCTGAAGAGAAGACATTGCAAATCAAATAATGAATGATCATGCTATAATCCTGTCTGGTCGTACAAGGCAAGTAATGCACCAAGCTATACTACCTCTGTTGAATTAATTTGGTACAGTAACAAAAGATCAATTTTTATATATAGGCCTATTAACTACAATTTTTCCTTTGGCTTCTTGTGTCAAATAAATATGATAAAGATTTAGTTTTCAAACTCATCCGACTAGATCATATTCTTATGCACACTTATTTAGAATTGTTTTGCCTTTTGGGGTTTTCTAACATTTAATTTCATAACAATTTTAAGATTCTTTCTCAGCTTTTGTTATAGGCCTATGATAAATGATGAATTATGAAGTATCATATCAGCAGGAAAATAAAGGAAAATAAGTACCGATTTGAGTGTTTATCACTGGCCACTCAAGATGTGCAGTGGTCATTTGGAATTAGTGTGTGAATGCGAGTTAAGGCTTTAAGCATAGAAAAAACTAGAAAATTGCCTGATTTTTTTATTTTTTAAATAACGAATGAACAATGAACAAAAAGAAAAGTCCTTACTAGTCCAATACTATTCTGATTGGTTGAAAGTCAAGTTACAATAAAAAAAAAAAAAGATTAAAGAGAGAAAGGGAGAGAAAGAAAGAAAATTAAATAAATGATACACAAAGTATGGGCACACTTGTGAACTAGCACCGTCGTACTTACGGTGTACAAATAGGGATTGCTTTGACCTGAAAAAATGCCTAATAGACCCTATATTTGATCATTTTAGTATCTTTTTTTAGTTATTTTAGAGCATTTTTAGGACGTTCTGGAAGTTTTTACTAAAACAATAATCTGGCCAGTCTGTAGATCTACAACTAACCAAAAATACTATAAGACCTGTGAAAATAGATTGTATAACTCAAGCTCATGATTTTAGAAATACTACAGATTGGTTCCTTCAGAAAAGCATTAAGCCTACTTACAATTACTGCAGCTGCATTAAATATCTGAAACGTTTGTACTATTAAAAGTAAAGAGTAAACATATAGTTGAAAACACAAGATGGCGCTATTAACAGTATACCAAAAATTCGGAGAGAGAGGCGAGCCTGGGAGATTTAAAGTTCCGAAAATCGCTTGAGTTTTATTTCAGATAATTACATGCAACGCAAAGTCACAATGTTACTGGCTGATTAATTAGAATACTGGTATATACATACCGACTTTGTATGTGGGCTTAGACATGACGTGTTAGGCAACGGTCGAATTCAGAAGAGGATTAGCACGTGGAATGCTGGCGTGTCCGCTCTCGATGAAGGCAAACTGCGAAAGAGGACGACTGTAGAAATACATCGGCATTTTCATCTTTCTGATTTGCATAGGCCACGCCCATATGCACACACCTCCAAAATCACAGCTGATTTATGTAAAATATTGCAGCGTTATATTCCGCAGTATTGAATGACACATACTCTCCAAAATACATATAAATTTAAAAATACATGTAACAACGTAAAATATACGAATACCTATTCAACAAAAGCTTTAAAATGAAGCAAAACATGAGCGTAAATAGATCAGGCCATCATCAATATAGTTAACTGTAATTTGATTGGTTAGAGTGTGTTATATGCACACGAATCCTCCATTCAGCGTGCATGTTTCATTGAGGTGGTAAGAATCACATGATAACGTCGAAAGGTAAACGAGGTGGTGCTAAATATCAAACCGAACAAACGTTGTGCTATGGTCGATGCTGCTGAGTTCAACCATGTAGGTCCATGGTTCAACCATCAGTTCAACCGAACTTTTGCAATGAAAATAAATACCAATATTTTTATAAAATCTGTAACTGCTTGGAATCTTGTGCTGTGTTCGACATGTGTATGATTCTGAATAACTTGTTTCAACCATGCCTTTTCCACAGAAATTCTCTCTCCTTATCTCTCTCTCTGCCTCTTTCAACTCTTTCTCTTTCTCTCCCTATCATTACCCTTTCATCTCTCTCGCTCTCTATCTCCCTACTCTTTTTCTGTCCTCCTCTCTCTAATTCCATGCATCTCTGCCCTCCCCTTGTCTCTCTCTCTCTCTCTCCGACCACCTCACATCTCTTCCTCCTATACTCTCTCTCTAAAAATGTGAATTTTCAATCTATTTTCAATTTTCTTTGAAATGACGTCCGTGATCATATTTATGGGTGAATATCAATTGATTTTAGATTGCCCTCTAAGAAGAAAAAGTGAATTTTCACTCTATTTCACTACATTTACACCCTCCAGAGGAGTGACGTCCGTGATCACTGATTTTTTTTTTAGAGAGTAGAAGAAAGAGAAGATAAAGTTTAAAGAGTTAAAAGAGTAAAAAGAATAAAGCAAAGTGGAAATATACAACCATGCCTAAAGTGGACAAGAGATGGGGGTGAAGAAGGGTGATAAACTATTAACACGACAGATTCAGTTCAATTCAATTAAGTTCAATTCAATATGGTAAAACTAGTGTAAATGGAGTTTTAAAAAAGTTTTGAAATAAGAGCATATTTTTAAAGGTCCAGTTTTGAGGGGAAAATTTTTGCGCCGACTCAGCCGGCCGGTGGATAAGAAGCGGCGGGGGGGGGGGGGGGGATGCTGGAGAGGAGGACCACTATTTTTTTTTTTTTTTTTTTTTTTTTTAGGGGGGGGGGGGTGAAGCGCCATTTTTACATGACTTTCTTTTTAACTCTCACTTTCACCTTTCCCAGATAGTTTTGTGTTGCTGATTTCTATGTAGTTGATAATGCATGATTAAAATGAATAATATTTCACCTTCTTCTCACTTTTTTTTTCCTCCTTTTTTTTCCTCCTTTTTTTTTTTCCTTTTTTTTTTCCTTTTTTTTTTCCTTCTTTTTTTTTCCTTCTTTTTTTTCCCAGGGGGGGGGGGGGGTGGGCCCCCGGACCCCCCCCCATGGATCCGCCACTGCCCATACGTATAGTGATTAGGTGATTACAATTTTTCAAAAATTCATAACTTTCTTCAGATTTAATTGAAACTTTCATCGGTAATTAACTGATTTTTATGCTTTCTTTTTGAGTAGTTGCACGCATTGCATCTGATGACCAAATTTATGATATCTCTACAAAAATCGCTACAGGACTTTTAACCTGGAGAATTACCCAGGCCTATCCATATCGCAAGGAAATCGAGATATTATTTTAAATTTTAAATTAGCGCTTTTAGCACAAAATATATTGGCATTGTATACGTATATATGGCACATGCACGTAATATTCTCTACATATTATTTAGAATAGAAAAAACCGCACGTAACATATCGATATCGCAATTAAGTTATCGATAATCAACTAGCACTGGATCGCTAAATTCTGCTGCATAGAGGTTCTGACTGTACTACTGAACAGACTTCGGCTAATTTCGTGTCAAAAATTATAAAAAGATGAATGACGCAACGTTCAATATCGATGGTGGTTATCTTGAAGGGCTTGTGAGAGGATTTAAAGGCGGGATCCTCAGACAACCAGACTACCTGAATCTTGTACAGTGTGAAATCTTGGAAGGTATGACTAACATGTTTGCACTCAAAATAAAGTCGCACTGCATTAACTGCAGCTGCACTGGCAATGCTGCAGCAAAGCTAGCTGAGCTGACTGTGTGTTGACTTGAATGATAATGATATGGGTGCGTTTGTCATAGTTTTGCCACTCAGATCCAGCGTTTCTATACATGTTATCGTACCCCACTAAGCCTATACGAATGTGATTTGCGGGATGTGGCATTTATCAACTTGTCACTATTCAAAGTAAAGGCTAAAGCCCAAAAGGCTTTGTTTGTTGTTGTCTGACTTTGCGCAAATTTAGCCTTTGCGCAAATTTGGCCTTTGCGCCATTTACCCGGGAAGCAGAGAGTTGCTCGGAGGTCAATGCCGCTAGTCGTATCCATTTTTGTACTGTAACTCGGTCGTGGAGATACCCTACTAAAACATACCAAAAATCAACTTCATCTTCAAATAATGGACATGATTAAAGTCGTGACGTTATACTTATAGGTCTAGATTCTAGAGTCTAGAATAGACTGACCAGATCCTTTAATTTATTTCTTACCCCTTGCTTGTCAATTTACTTATCTTTTTTGGAGTATTTTTCCTAAAAACGAAGACATTCACTTTCTCACAGGTTTCACGGCAAACCGCTGCACAATTACTTACTTTACCTTGGTGTCGAGGCTTGAAGCTTCAGCTTATGTGCCCCTCTTTACTGCATTGGATTCGTGTTGGTATGGGTAGTATTTCAGCAGACGGTGCTTCCAATGATTTTCAAGTTCTGACTTGAACTTATTGATTGATGAGGCATTTATGGCAATTTCAGGAAGGTTATTCCAATTATTTATGCTCCGCACTGAAAATGACATCTGCCTTTGGGGGCTTCCTTATTTTGAGCATGTGTCCCCTTGTTCTGGATTCTTCGATGATTTGAAACATGTCATTCTACTCACTCTACTGCCTCAAATCCATGCATGATTTTGTATATTTGAAGAATATTACAATACAATACAATTGCGTACCATACTGACGAAGGGCTAGGGTGCATAAAGTTATCAGCGACGCGACTACCGTATTAATAGACTTCACGCACGCATGCGCATAGGGGTTTAACACTGATTTATCAATAAACACGCAAAATATGGTCACACCATCATAATTGTGATGAGCACTATGAAATCGGTGAAGAATTTAACAAAAAAATTGAGACTTTGATACCGGAGTGATAGCAATTTGCTTACCTTTCACGCGCCCGTTCTCCTGATGATATTAAATGCTAATTAGAATTGTCTATCAGAATGGCTGCCTTTAATCACTCCAGAAATTTATACTAATCAACCAGACATGGTACATGTACATTAATGAAGTATGTTAGATGAGGCATATTGATCATCATGACTCAGGTATCACTGTAATGAATTGTAATTTGTTTTTCTAACTAGAGTTGAAACTAGGCCTGAGTCATGTCGGGATTTTCATAAACCGGGTCCCGACGGCCTTGCACCGATCGGGACCCGGTGTCCCGAAATCAGCTCGCAGGATTTGTCACTTGCCTCTATAAAAAGCGCATATCATCAGTATGTCCCTTAAAAGTGACCTTTTTATCAATCAAATAAATCAACACATGCATACCTCGCCTCAGATCGGTATATTTTTCCACTTGACATTTTTTTCATCGATGATTGGCGATTTTTAGTGCCATTATCGTGCCTCTAAAAGTAAAAAAACTGGGGCAAAAATGGAAAGACAACATTCGAGCAGCCATTTTGATTCATGCAGGTTGAATAAATCGGGTCAAAAAATATGAATGTTAGAATAATAAAACGGCTTTCTAAAAAATTCTTCTTGACAATATACCGATCAAATAATTTTTTAAAGACAAAATAAATATTTATCTCTTATTTTAAACATTGCATGCTTTTTTTAAAAAGCTGAAAATTACTTGGTAATCACAAGAAGTTTCGATACGGATAACTGTTGCAAGGGAAGTTCAGACTAGTCTCGGAAAAATGCGCACTGCACCTCGTTAGCTGTATAATGCGTGCCCAAACGAAACCAAGCAATGACGTGATCGTAACGAGAAAAAAATCATTACAAACTACGAGAGCACAATTGGAAAGACAACTACTCAAAATTATCGTAAGCAGATACATAACTTGGAGGAAGAATACAATAGTTGTCCAAGAAAAGCCACAGAAATAGTGATATTTAAGGAGTTACTATAGGTACAAAACCGTACAATCATTATCTGAATGGGCCTCCTGCAAATACTCGAACTACACGTGTTTAAATTGAACACGAGGCTAGAAACCAAATACCGCCCTCTACGGTAAAAAGCAGTATAACAAAGGATTCGAGTATTTGTAGCAGGCCCCTTGCGATAAAAATGTACCCAGTTTCTCCTCGATTATCACTATTTCTGTGGCTTTTCCTGGACAACTATTGTATTCTTCCTCCAAGTTATGTATCTGCTTACGATAATTTTGAGTACAGGTAGTTGTCTTTCCAATTGTGCTCTCGTAGTTTGTAATGATTTTTTTCTCGTTACGATCACGTCATTGTTTGGTTTCGTTTGGGCACGCATTACAGTTAACGAGGTGCACTGCGCATTTTTCCGAGACTAGTCTGAACTTGCCTTGCAACAACTATCCGTATCGAAACTTCTTGTGATTACCAAGTAATTTTCAGTTTTTAAAAGAAGCATGCGGTGTTTAAAATCAAAGAAAAAATATATATTTTGTCTTTTAAAAATTGTTCGATCGGTATGTTGTAAAGAAGTATTTTTAGAAAGCCGTTTTATTATTCAAACATTAATGTTTCTTTCAACCTGATTTATTAATCCTGCCGAGAGACCCGGCCAGTACAGTAGCTAGCTAGCAGCTGGCAACAACAACCCCATGGGGCGAACTGCTTTGCAACCCATATTTATATCAGCAGTTCGGATTGATTCAGGATGAGCTAATTAAATACTTAAGTTTTAAGGTGGATTGATTTTAGTGGTGTGCAAAACTGCAATTTCTTACATATTTCATTATTTTTTTCGGAGCGTCGGTTCTCAAAAAACGAAACCGGGACCCGACGGCAACGGTCGGGTCCCGGTGTGATCGACCGTACCGACTCAGGCCTAGTTGAAACTTGTCAAATTTTCTTATGAACCTTCTAGAAAGTCTGAAATTTCTCACATGGTCAAACGCAACTTAAACTGAACACTCAGTAGCCTAGGGTTTCCAATTTTCAGTACTTGGAAAATCAAGATTCTATTTCTTTATACTATAGCACTGGTTGATAATGTAGTGATTAGATAGAAATAAAAATGTAATATCATGAAGAGAACAGAGAAGAATGTTCAATGTTTACAACTATTTTCTAATGTGTATTTGTGACAAAGCACTGGATGGCTATCATGTGAAAGATTGCCTGTCAAAATTGGAACAAGGAAAGATTATTTTTAATGTGAATGATCACAGATAAATACAACTATGCTTCAAAGAGTTGGTTGATACATGTACATACAGGTATGATCACTACGGTATACCATAGATACCAGTACATCCATTGTCATGCAGGAAATAGAGTAGGAAGTACATGTAGAAGTCAATGTGGTTGTGTTATGAGTTCACTCACTGGTTTGGTTTTGACTGACATGAGATGCTGCTGTTATCTTTGGTTTATTTCTGTTAATTGATATTATTTGTTATTTTAATATGAGTTGGATTCATGCCTCCCCCCCCCCCCCCCCCCCCCCCCCCCCTGTGTTTAAAAATGGCTTGGTTAAGATGTGTTCTTTTGTAAGTTTTGTCACTTTCATGCAAGCTGCAGTGTCCTCCAGCACACATTTAGAAACAGAAAGTCTTTATTTAAAAGTTTGGCCAGGTAATATAACACCCAACAAGGTGTGTAGTATTGTTTGTTTGCTACCTTACCTCTAAAGAGATACTCAGTCATCAATCATTTTAAAATTCACCTTTTTCATTTTTCCATTAGATTTGAAGCTGCATCTGCAGAGCACAGACTATGGTAACTTCCTGCAGAATGAGCCATCCCCACTCTCAGTATCAGTCATCGATGACAAGCTCAAGGAGAAGTTAGTAACAGAGTTCCAGCACATGAGAAATCATGCAGTTGAACCCATGTCAAAGTTCATGGACTTTGTCACGTAAGTCACAAGCTTTAAACATAGTTCACTGATGAGAATATCACTAATTTGTGTTATTAATCATTGATCTATATGTATAACAGGGCTTAAATTAATCCAAGGCCATCCAAGGCCAGGCCTTGGATGCCCCTTTGATTGGCCTCAATGCCCCTCTCATTGGCCTTGGAGATTTTTTGTGCCCTTTCCAATTCTTCCCATTGGTGCTGTAATATAGGAATGTGCCCTACAGAAAAGTGGCCTTGCCCTAAAAATGTTGAAATTTAAGGCCTGGTATAACTTATATAATCAGATTATCAGATAGCAGTCTTTTTTTTTCTTCATTGCTTTGTGTTCAAGAAAAACATGTGTACATGTTCATGTATGTGCACAGAAATACATTTTTACTGTATCTGACCTGTCAGTGGAAGTTTAATAACCTTTGTTCTGTGTAACATAGCTGAAATTGTATTGGAAATAACAATCCTTCTAATGAACAATGTCTCATGTTAATCAAGTTTTGCTTAATCTCAGTATAACTTCATGATGTAGAATATTATCATGTTATAAATGTGATGAATGATATACATGTATACTGTATTGCAAATAGACTTATCGGAATAAGGATGGAATTTAATTCCAAAGTGATATATTTAACAGGAAACTACAGCATTTTATATACAGTCAAACCTGCTGTAGTGACCACCTGTCTACAACCAGCACATTTTTTGATTCCCTTGAAAATGGTTTCTCATTGAAACATGTACTAAAGGAACCTGTCTACAAAGACCACCTGTCTACAACAAGCACATTTTTTGTTTTCCTTGGGCGGTCGCTGTAGACAGGTTTGACTGTACCGGTAATCTAATTATGTTTTATTGAGAAAATTTGAGATATAGTTGGTCTAACCTATTTCTTAACTGCTCATTCTCTGCAGGTATAGCTACATGATTGACAACATCATCCTGTTGATCACAGGAACACTGCATCATCGTTCCATCTCTGAACTCATCCCTAAATGCCATCCACTGGGTAGCTTTGAGCAGATGGAAGCAGTCAATGTAGCCCAGACACCGGCTGATCTCTACAATGCCATCATTGTCGACACACCTCTTGGTGAGTACCTTTCCCAAGCTGCTCACCATTGTTAACCTCTCGAGTACTCAAGCCGGAGATAACCCGCACTGGAGACTATTTGTGTTGTATCAAAATCAATTATTACATCAAATGGCTTAAAGGTGAACTTGACCATGATGCCAAGAGAAATGGATAAATTGGTTAAATTTTAAAATAGAATTACCTGGTGTGATTGCGGGACATGGTAAGACAATCATGTTTCCCATACTTCATTTTCAGCACAACAATGTGGGATATGTTTTCCCAGAGAGAAACCCTTTGTTTTTAGAATGGGTAATCCTTGATTGTCACAGGGAATCCTTCTTTAGTACACTGTATTTTGAATTTGAGATGATACATCAGGTGTAGGTCATATTTCTTCAAATCCTTACAACTACATCCTCCAAGCCTACCACTACTTAACTCGTGGACATGTACATACTTTAAAACTTTCAACATCAATTTGCTTACTGTGACAGTGCTGAAAAACCACATCCCTTTAATATTCTGAGGAGGCGCGATAGCTCAGTCGGTAAAGCAGTGGTCTCGTAATCCGTTGACCTGGGTTCAAAACCAAGGCAATCAGTACCAGGTCTCTCAGAGAGGACCTTAAGCCGTCGCCCTCTGGTTGCTTACTAACAAGCATTTATGCTTTCTTAGCAGTCAGGTAAAATAACCACCACTACTATTAGTCCAAAGTTTTCTTGGAAATAATCACGATTACTTCCTTCTCCTTACAGCTCCTTTCTTCCAAGATTGCATCTCAGAGCAGGATCTGGATGAGATGAATATAGAGATCATCCGTAATACCCTCTACAAGGCCTACCTAGAGGCCTTCTATAAGCTGTGCAAGGATATTGGAGGGGCCACAGCAGACTCCATGTGTACCATCCTTGGGGTAAGTTTTATTACAGGGTGTCTTTACCAACCCTACAAAGATCCCATTTTCTCTCTAGGAGGTAATCGCCCTTTGCCTCAAATACTGTGAGTTTTAGTTGTATTCCATTGATGACCAACATAAAGATAACTCTTGAAATCCCAGAGGTTTTGTATATGAATTTAAATGTATCTCATCAGTCTCTGAAAATTTTGATCATGATCGTGGTGCTAAACCTTCCATATTTCTTTATTACTGGTACACTGGTGTAAAATTTGAGCAAAACAAATTTCCAATATTGGACAATAAATTGAAATTGAAATAGAGGTAAATATTTTAAAACTCGATTGCATTTATTCAGACATTTTAATGTAGATTTTTTTTTTCCCTTCAAAACACCCAATACATGAAAAAAAAACTAATCAATAGTAGTAGTATTTCTTAGAGTCTACAATATGTGTGGTTATGAGTGTTACAAATGGGAGACAAGTCATATTTAAAACAAGAAATGTTTATAAATAGTACAAAACTACCAAACTTAGTTATTGAAGTGTGAGGATGAGTATTAGAATAAGAGAAGCCCTAAAATCAATATGCCTTACCACTTCAAATTCCCTGTAGTTTGAAGCTGATCGCAGAGCATTCATCATCACCATCAACTCATTCGGGACAGAACTGACCAGAGAGGACCGATCTAAGCTGTACCCCCGATGCGGTCAGCTCCACCCAGATGGTCTGGCTGCCCTGTCTAAGTGCGATGACTATGATCAGGTCAGAGCAGTGGCAGAAAGCTATCCAGTGAGTATCTAGTTTCATCATATATTTTCCTTAACCCCTTCTGTACCAATAAGTTCAACTATCAATAGTCGAATATCGACTTTTAATTGGTTGTTTCATTATTAAATTAAGTGTAAATATAAAGCATGGAATTAAACTCTCAAATAGAGGAACCTGTTTTTGTATTAACGAAGAAAAATGTAGCCAATGTGAGTCTCAACAAATGTTACACTCTTACATTCTAGAGCAGGATTCACCACCAAAAGCAGGATATATTTATCAGTACCAACACTGCAATTATTTACAGAGGCATGCACATAGGATCCTTGGTCAATACTCCAAAGTAGCATCACTAGAAAACATGTGAGTGTTCTATAGCTGTTTCTCATGTAGGGATTTCACTGATGACATGTTCTCTTGTTTTTCCAGGAGTACAAGATGCTGTTTGAAGGTGCAGGAACTAACCCAGGTGACAAGACATTAGAAGACAAGTTCTTTGAGCATGAGGTAAATATAGAGAAGCCCCCTTTGCATTGTATATGTAGTATTACTGATTCACATACACTTGTTTCATCTGCAAAAATCTGCAAAAATTGCCCATTCTGAACAAATATTTGAAAAATATTAAGATCTCAAAAATTGTATATACCGGTATAGCATATGCCTCACAAGCAATCTGTGTAGTGGATCTTAGAGAAGTGTAATATGGATACAGTCAAATCTGTCTATTAAGGTCACCCAAGGGAAACAGAAAAAGTGGCCACTGTAGGCAGGTGGCCTATCTAGACAGGGTCTACAACACACATTTCTATCTCAAAGGAGACAAAAGACATGACCACTATACACAGATGGACTTTATAGAGAGGTGGCCACTAAGACAGGTTTGACGTCACAGACATGTGTTTTTATAACTTAAATGATTATGTTATAATGAAAGTCTAACGCATTCTATGCTCTTTGTATGAAAACAGGTCAGGCTAAACATCAATGCATTCCTCCAGCAATTCCACTTTGGCGTCTTCTACGCTTACGTCAAGCTAAAGGAGCAAGAGTGCAGAAACATTGTCTGGATCGCAGAGTGTGTAGCCCAGCGACAGCGAGGCAAGATTGACAACTACATTCCTATCATGTAAAATCAGAGATTTTTAAATTATATCCACATGTGCAGGGTGTTGGGCGAACCTACTAAGTCTTAATAAATCATCCTTGATTGGACAATCACTTTAACCCTGTGGAAACTGATGTTACGTTTTATCAAAGGAAGACCCATATAGATGTCAGTTTAAAGAAAATCATGTGGTATTGCATGGGTTATGGTGGTAGATGTTCAAATATTCCCAAGTGTTAGTTAGTTTATAAGATCCTTTTTCTGGTTAATTTTCTGGTCTGATCTGTCACCATATTGTCTGTTCAGAGCCAGAATGGTATTAATGCTGTGTTAAAGTACCTGTATATGAAAAAACAGGATACTGACAGGAAAAATTTGGGGAAAGAGAAGCACAAGGAGATAGTGCATCAAATACATGGATAAGTTCATTGGGCTCACTGGTAATAGAAGTTTTGTCACATTACAAAGAACCAGAGCTAGAAGTAGATAGAAAGCCTTGATCGCCAATACCTGGAAAAGACAAGGCACCTAGTAAGAAGGCAATATATATGAGTTCATGCCTATCTGGTTCCAAGCAGACAATATATTCAGGCAAATGTATCACAATGCAACTTTCAGAAAATAATCATGCATGGATCCGAAAAAGATCAGATAAGGAAGAAGAGTATATTGTGTTGTTCAGCACCCTGCATATACATGTAATTTTGAATAGAATCCATGTGTTTTTATTTGATGTCTTATTAGTGGCATTGATGCCATGTCAAGTTTATTTTGTTCTTTGTGTATTTTTTGGACAGTGGTATTTCAAACAACGTACTCTATAACAAATGTTTTGTGTTATTCATTCCATCCCCAAAGAATATGTATGAAGATCAATAATCATGCCCTCTTAGTAAGAAGACGAATATTATAGTGAGAAGATTTGATAGGAGTCTCTGTTACTGTGTCAGAATTTCAGTTTTTGCATCAATTCATCTTCCTGTGTTGATCATTCATCAGCACTTCAATGAGCTATTCTATATACTGTACATTAATAGTTGATCAGGTGATTAGTGTTTCTATTATTGCTTCTATAGCCCATACAATAATCAGCTAGCGTACAACAGACTTTGAACTCCTTTTGTTTGTAAAGCAGAGAAAATTTGCATACGGTACTTATTCATACATTAGTAATTGTTATTTGATATTACAAGTGTTATGGCATTAATTACCATGATCAACTAAAAAGGTATTATAGTTTTTAACATTAATGAAATAACATTACTTTCAGTGTATTATGTCGCAGAAGACAGTGAATATGTCACATTATTGTTTCAATCTTCATTTTATAACACACATGTGCAATTTTATGTAAAATGTAATCCAAACAAATTGTGTACAGTAAATGCCAGTTCTTGGGAAGAACAGATGAAACCATGTATGGTATATTATGAGGTATTTAGTGTATTTCAGGTTAATGTACGTCAAGGTTATAGATTTCATTCATAAAGTCGAGTCATGCTAGTTTTTAGGGGCTCATATACATGTATATGTTCCTTTCATCTCTATTTTAATTTCTATTTGATAAAAAATGCAAATTTGTTCACTCTATAACATTTAACCAAACCATATGTAAGTACAGGGGAGGTATCAACACTGCATGTATGTCATTTTATGAATCATCAAGTTTTTAAAGAGTGGTTATTTAAAATCAAATCAGCATTATTTTTGGATTTTGGACTTTCCTAATTATACATGTATGTATCTATCCTAATCTATTTTGTTTTAATCTAATTAAAAAAATACATAAGATTTTTCAATGTTATCATTTTATGCCATTGAGGTTAAAAGGTACATGTATTACTAAGTAATGTTTGTCATGATGAACATTTTAGTTTCAGCATATCAGGAGGCTGATTGTATAGTTAAATTAGAATGTTTTTTTTTTATGAATCATAACTTTAAAAGAAAAGAAAGAAAAACATAAAGAAATCTATCCCTTCTCTTAATGGTACAATTTATGGAAACAAATATGACGTAATTATAACAGCTCTGTACAGTCATTTCAGCCACATTAATGATTAGAATATCATTCTTCAACAGAAATTGCTCACTTCTCTTTTGATTTTCATGGCTGCTTTGGTAATGGCTACGTTGGCTACTCTATCAAATTGTTGGTGCTAGCATTATGGGTTACCTATTCCAATTCAACTTTGAACATATTTCATAAATTAAATACTACACCACATGGTAAATACAATCTTGTAAGTTGTAATGATCAATTTGGTTAGGTTTCTCATCATTTCCTGTTGATTAAACTCTGTTTGATTTTATTCCATTAACACTAATTCTGCAGCATTTATTGAGTGGCCAATATGCTGTTCACATAAAAATGCAAAAGTAGAAGTTCAGCATGGAATCTAGATTATATATGTGTTGTCATAGGTTTTAGAGAATGGTCAGTACTTGTCAATTAAAAATGTGGTTCTATAGGAGGTGAAAATTGACATTGGTATGGATGTACATGTACATTGAAAATGTTATGTCAGATATGTTAGCTATTGTTATCAGAATTATATTATATATCAATAAATAAATAAATATATCATGTAATGGAAACATGTTTTGTCTGTTATTTCATGAATTGCATGGTTTCCCCTATCTACAGTTGACATCACTGTTTTAGGTTTTACACAGGTTCTACAACACATCCACCAGTGACAATTGCTGTAGAGTCAATTTCTTACACAATATGAATTTCTAACTCTAAAACAATACATAGCCCTAACTCTAAACCTAGCATAAAACGCACTGCAACCCTAACACTAACCCTGTACCTTTGATGAAGCCCAAAACAAGTGATACCAGAGCATATAGATTAGCCATGCAAATGTAGCATGAGCAGGGCAAATTCACTAATTAGGGCTATTGTGATCACCACACATGCAAGTGTTCACTTCAAGTAAAACATTGGGCTCGCAAATAAGAAATTAATTTCATTGTAACAGGAAAGAAACTTGCTGGGATGGGCAAAGCTCTGCAAATTTCTTTTTTTTTGAAAGTTAATATATTGTTTAATTGCAAGGTTATAACGGACCAATTATTTTCCTTTCTTCTTCATCCTCTTTCTTCTTCATCTTCTTTCTTCTTCTCCTCCTCCTCATCCTCCTCCCCCTCCTCTTCTTCTTCGTCTTCTTTCTGATTGATATTGACTGAGTGCATGAGCGAGTATGTACATTTCATGAAATATACAACTTGACATGGTATACGCCATGACCACAAAAAAATCAGAATTCATTTAAATGTATATCCATTTGAAATTCTTTTTATTTATATTATATTTGTTTTCATGACAGAGGGCACGACTTCACAATGAGTTACTCAAAGGATTACGTAACACAATAATGAAAAATGACAGCTTTGAGAAAGACGTCATTGGAGGAAGTGAATTGTAGTCTGCAAATACAAACATAAATTTGAAACAAAGCCTGTGGTAAAGGCGTTTAATCAATTGTTGTTTATAGTTTCATCTCGATTTCCTGACATTGCTTTTTTTAAATAATAATAATACAATTTTATATCAGGATATTGCTTGATGTAGGCTTGGTGCTAGTATGGTGGATGATAATTATGGAGAGTATGTGAAATAAGTGATTGTTTATGTAGACTAGTGTTGTCAACAAGCTGACAGACAGAACTGAAATCAGAATCCGAAATGGGGAATGGAATGAGCGAGGTAATTATACTTTTATGTTATTTTTTGACTAAAAATCGATATCATAATTGATGTGCCGTATTCTTCAGATGTGTACTTCAAATAATTCAAAAGCAATAAATTTCATGTGTGTAATCGTAATTTGATCATAGCCATTTATAAAATGACAGGATGTCAGTCCCCAATAATACGGTCCCATTAGTTGAAATATATGTTAGCAGATATTATAATCCCAGCATATCGCTAATCAATCAAATTTTGTTCATATGCTGCTAAAGCTATCCTTAAGTCAACCTTAATTCCATTTTGAACAGTATTGTCCAGTTGTTTATTTAAGCATGTTTTTAAAATTGTTATACAAATAGACTTTAGAATGAAAAAAGAAACTGAGATTGAGAACTTTGTGTTGGTTAATAAGAATATGATTATGAATGATTGATTATGATGTGAAAATAAAATTGATATGTATGTCTATGAGTATGATGCAGCGGTTGAGAGAGGGCACATGGGTATTAGGTTTGTATAGTCAATAATCAATACTTATTAGTTGGGCATAAATTCACTTTCGCTTTTAGAACTCGGCTTCACATTACTAGTTATTCATTGTGATAAATGGAGGACATCAGAGATGCACGACCAAATCGAGATACAAGTGGAGTTATTGGATATTTAGCTTACAAAAGGAAAAAATTAAATGACACCAACAACTTACAAGGCAGTGTTTCCCAGCAAAACGTTTGCCTCGATCTCTGAGGTCAGGAGCCTATTGATGTGTGTGTGGATCAGAACAAAAATCATGTTATGAAAACAAAAGTAGATGGTGATTTTAATGATGTACAGTCTGGGTGACTTTTCATTAGGAATCTGCTTGCTTATCATATTTTCATTTTGATCTGAGGTAATCCCTTTGCAGCAAATGTAAACAAAGGAAATTGCCACTAGACTGTCTCCCAAATGGGCTACCAAAAATCTTGACAAGTCTCGACAAAAGAGACAGTCTCCCAAATAGAAAAGAATCTCCAGTATTGGGCATGCACCTCCACTACAGGAGGAAGGAATAAACTAACAAATTTAAAAAAATGACAAAAAATATCTTCACTTTCCTCAATTGTTAAATTTTAAATATTATGCAGTAAAATCAACCCAATAAATCCTCAGAATTATACTCGAACTTCAAGATTTAAAATTGATTATTAATTGTTTCAAAGGAATGTGATGTAATTTATTTATGATCTGCAATCTGATACTTAAACGGTATGCATTTCAAAAAATAGTGCAGGGAAAAAATCTATTTGCATTTATAATTCATACAGTTTTAGATGGATGCAGTTCCAGCTTGAATGAATGAGCACTCGCACAATGTAAACAAAAAATTGAAATAAAATGAACATAAAATGGGATGAATACCTGGAAACTTTAGTGATCAAAATTGTGTGTTAAATATCATTTCTGAAGCAAGTGTCTTCTTTTCCAATTCATGTCAGTAAAATGTTTTAATTTTGAAGCATATATTTTTCAATGGTGTTTTAAAGAGATAGTAAAGCCTGTCCTGCATTTTTCTCTGAATTAATTACTTACACTACAGGTTTTGAAAGGGATCTTTGTTGGCAACTTCAGAGGTAAGCTTGTAGACAAATCTAAAATTGTTATATGAATATTTGTTCTTGTACTACACTATTGAAAAGAGAAAATGATATCTTCATCTTAACAGATATAATATTAATCATGAAATTTATTACTTGAATTCCTTTCCTTTCCATTGTCAAATTTGTTAGCGTATGGTCACTTTGAGCTACACTGGACTCATTATAATACACCCTTCATATCTTTAGAAATAGAGATGCATTTAACTAATATTCCTAAGATTGTTATCAATTATAAAGCTTGACCCCCCCCCCCCCCCCCAAAAAAAAAAAAAAAAAAAAAAAAAAAAAAAAGTCTATCATGTTTCTGGTGTTGGAGCAAATTTTCAAAATGATAAATGTCCATCAATAACTATATTTGTGGGAGTACAGTGTCACACTGATGCACTTACTTGCCTTGGGGGTTCCACTGTCTACACAGTGCGAAGGTCTTTATAAAGTACATTTTAGCTGCTGTTTTCTCTCCACCCAGACGTTCAGTGGGTACCTGTCAGGATTTATTATTTGAAAATAAAGGTATAATGTATGCTGATAACACTTGTTCATCTCATCATATTCCTCACATTAAAATGAGACAATTGTTTTTATTACAGATTCCAAAGATGAGACGCAGCTGGGCAATAATAACATCACTCATATACTGTCAATACATGACAATGCCAAGCCTATAAGACCAGTAAGTTGTGAGCAGTTAGATGTACTCCGAAACTCGTTCATTTTGGAATTAGCTCCAGAATAACAGTGTCCTTGATAGTCATACATGTAGGTTCATATTGCACATCAAGTCATTTGTTTTTAATAGGTAACTTTAAGTTTCTATATTTATAAATTTTGTGTTGAAATGTTAAATTTTATTTGATTTTATACAGTGTGGCTCAGAAAAAAAGGAAACCCCAAACCCTAACAATGATTGTAAGTGACTTGTGAGCTGTATGAAAATAATTCTGTGCTGTTCATAAAATTAAAGTAATTTAATTTTGAATGATACTTTGATTGAATTAATCTATACATGCTTTATTGAGCAACATCTTTCTCCATGTGTTCCTTTCAACAGGATAAAGAATACCTCTGTTTTTCTGCAGATGATGCACCAGGACAAAACTTGTGAGTACCAGTAGATCATAAACTTTTAATTGCAGCTAAGGGATGAGAATACATTTTTCAAACAATAATATCCTGTGAACAGAGATGATATGGAGATCCAATGTCATATTTGTCTAAATAAATTATCTATTATTATCATTATGCTCTTCGTTGATTAAATCACATTTCTGCATTTCCTCTGTACTTCATGGGGTGCAGTATATAAATTTATATGACCGTTATGTTATTATGATGTAGGATCTTTCTTTTTTCACTGTCAAGTACATTATTCTATATTCTAACATTATGGTGTTTAACCTTTTGCTCTAATGTTGATTCTGTTCATGTTGATGACTGATTTTTATTGTATTGCTCTTTCATTACAGAATTCAATTTTTTTCAGAGAGTAATAACTTTATCCATAAATGCAGACTAGAAGGAGGCAATGTTCTCATACACTGGTAAGATATTCTTTATTTGCAACAAACTGGGTAGTTCAACATTAATTTCACATATCATGTATGCTTTTTTAAATTTGCTGTTTCCAATCCAATCCAATCCGAAAGATATTTGATATAGCGCCTTTTCCTTGTGGTTACAAAGCGCTGCACACATGCTCCACAATGTTTGGGCCACTTAAAAACAAAAGTTAGTCACTTAGTCAGAGATCAGCCAAGTATATGTAGACTGGTAATAAAGTAATTTCTAGCAGAATAGATGTGACTTGAGTAGTTTCTTGAACTGGCCAACAGATGAGGCTGTCTGCACAGCAGTAGGTAGCTGGTTCCACAGTTTTGCAGCAACCGATGGGAAAGACAATTGATTTGATTGATTATAACATTTGTCTGCTGTGATCCTGCATAGAACAGTTTTTTTTTTTTATGATGATTTAACAAAGTGGGTATTAATGCACTCTGATCCTCCTTTATAAAAGTAATCTTTTTAAAGCTGACATAATTTCATTATAATTATCAGTACAAAATTTCATTATAATTATCAGTACTGCAGGTACATGAAGTAACTCCCTTCATCTACCGGTATTCATCTCCCCCTCCTTATTTTGTTTGTTTTTGTCATATTTCTATATCAGGCACCCTCCCCCATTTTTTCATCTATGCATGTCTCTTCCTCGTCTTTCCTTCTCCTCTTTCATTTCTGGGAGGGGGGTTCTATCAATATATGCACGAATTGTTATTTTACAGACAAAGTTTGTCAGAATCTGTTTCCTTTTTCTCTACACATGTCCCACTCAATGTCCTCAGCCTTGCTGGTGTATCTCGTAGTGTCACCCTCACTGTGGCCTACATGATGACTGTTACTGATTATAAATGGGAAGATTGCCTTCGAGCGGTCAAGACATGTAGAACGGTTGCCCATCCCAACTTTGGTTTCCAGAGACAACTGCAGGAATATGAATACTCAAAATTAGCAGAGGTGAGTTGTATTTATTTCACATGGTATAAAGCAGGGTAATTCATTCAGTAAAGCTGATCTTCCATGAAGTCCTGTGATATAGCATGACACAGTGTGTTAATGGTGTGTCTTAACCCTACCTTCATCACCGAGTTTAATTTGTTTTATCTCAATTATGATTCCATCTGAAAATTGTCTTAAATTAAACAGTACTCGATGGCATAAAATTTCACAATACACCAACCCATCTTAAATTTCTAGAAGACAAATAAACTGTTCTTCAGACCGAGTCCAATACTGCTAATTCACTTTAAACCTTTGTCCGTCATAAAACTTCTAATGCCTCTGATAGTGCTCAAGGACAAGTGTAGTCTTGGAACAGCATTGAGGGACTTCTGTGTAACCTTGTTTATCTTTCCAGTCCAATCCAATTCAAAGGATATTTCATATATTGTATCCTGGCATTCCTTGGAACAGCTACAGTGAAACTTGTATATAAATACCACTGAAGGGAGGTGGTCTGTCACTGGTCTTTATGTATAGGTTCCTTTACTACATGCTTTACAGGAAAGTTTAACGATGGCATTGTATAACTGTTTTTTAAGGTCCATTCCAATTTGTAAATATATATATTTTTGTGTGGTAGCCCCTTCAACTCTAACGTAATTATGTTAATTTAGGTTTTAAGGCTTTTATCGTTGCCTATTCTCAAAACATAATTTTCCCCCATATTTTTTGATTGTTTGGTTACTCCACATTATTATTGTCTGATTATCTGTTATCATTACCCTATAGCAGTTTAGTAATTTAAAGATCTTGACCATTACTTTCTCTTAGTTTATTTTGGTATTCTATTGATTGACATGTATTATTTTTTCATCTGTACTGCCATCTTGTACTTGTTATGTACCTGTCTGTTTGGCTCAGTATTGCATATTTACTGTATCTATAAGTTTATTGTATTACTTGTAAACATGATCAGTTTTGGTCCTTGGACCTTTGAATCATGTATATTTATACTGAAATGAATAAAATAAATAGATAAAATGGAGAATGTGGTCATTATAGACAAGTTATTTTTTCTATAAAGCGGGTTTTACTGTAAAGTCACTGTATTATATTATTATGTATTATTATATTTTTTCTTTGTAGTACAAGGAGGACATAAGGCTCAAGTTCCCTGAATACTTGCCAGAAGAAGACATCAAGAAGATGCAGGCCCTCCTGGAGAAGTACCACCAAGAGAACAAGGATCCAAACCAGGGCAGAGAACCTCATGAGGGGTTCATCTACCCCCTCCCTAGGAATGCCTACAACATTAGAATCAAGAAGGAGAAGGAGGCCAGGGAGAAGGCAGAGGCACAGGGATCAACAGGAACGACTGAATCAACGGCATCAGCAACCTCAGAGGACTCATCGGAAAACGCAGGAATGCCCTTTGCAGATCAACAAGATTGATACATAGCAAGGATTAGATTCAATGTTTTTGTAATTTCTTGATATGTTTATTATATAGCCGCCTATTTAGTTCAAATGAAAGACTTCTAGGAAGAAAAACGTGCAGTTGATCAGAGGTTTGCCCTCATTTGAGTACCGGTATGTTTCCAAGTGAGAGTGGAATCAAAATTTGCCTTTGTCTTATTTCAACAAAGGCCTTGATGCTGTAGGGAAACTTGCAATGGATAAGGGAAGAAAGCTATCTGTAAACCAGCCTCACATCATGCAATTATGTCTGTTACATGTTTACATGACTGCTATCTTTTTTCATCAGGGATATTGATAGCTTGGTAGACATACCAAGTCAAAATAGGCTATGAAGTGTAGTTTATTAAATACATGTAGTAGTGTTTTCAGTGTGGTGAAATATCTTTGCTGTAAGGTATTGACATCGATTAAGTGGTCATTGTAGATCATATTTATACATGTATGTATACCGTACACAGAAGACCAATTCAGATGAATTTGATCAAAATTGATCAAATAAGCGGCCTTTACCAAAGATATTGATTCATATTCTAGTCTGCCATTTTGATTCTTTTTAAAAACACTTCATCAAGGCCCCTACTATTGCATAATACTTTTTTAGTATATTTTTCTGCAGATACTTAGATATTGGGTACACCCGTTTATAGCACGTCATTTGTATTCTAGTATAGTGTAGTGGAGCGCAGTGAAATGTGTTCTGTGTAAGACTGGCTTTAGAAGTATTTATGCAACTGAGAATAAGAGCTAATGCTTGGTGAGTTCTTAATGTTGGTCTTTGATGCATGTGCTTGTGCAGCTCTTGCATCTAAGGTATAAATACAGCCTCTTCCTAGAGACGGGATATCTTCAAGCATGTCATGAAGCTAAAGCAATAATTTTGCAAACAAAGCTCGATTGGATCTCTGAAAGCATGTTGCTTGAAGACACTTTATGATCATTAACCCAGGTGGCATGTGTAGTGGCATGTGTATCTCTCTCTCTCTCTCTCTCTCTCTCTAAGTGCCATATCGATTGACTTTGGCGATCATGCTATTCCACAACCCTCGGTTCCTAGCCTTCTGTATTAGTACCACTCCCAGTTCATTCACTCCTCTCTCTTCCAACAATTTCTGCAGACTGTCCATCCAAAGTATCCTCCTTCTTCCCCTACTCCTTCTTCCCACAATTTTCCCTGTCAGAGCAAGATTCTCTAGGCCTTCTTTACGTGTAATGTGACCCATGAACTTCAACTGCCTAATCAACATCTCACGTATCATTTTCCTTTGCACTCCAGCTCGTGTAAGAACTTCCTCATTACTAACTCCGTCAGTCCAGGGGATTTTCATCATTCTTCTTAAGAACCACATTTCGCAACTTTCCAAATGCTTTTTAGTATCAGAGGCTAAAGTCCACGTTTCACAACCATACATAAGTACCGGGTATATGTAACAATTCAATACTCTTATTCTGGTCCTCATACTCATTGTTCGATTTGTCAGAATTTTGCCTAGCTTTGAAAATGCAGATTTAGCGAGATCTATCCTTCTCTTGATCTCTGTCTCACATCTGGCATCCTCGGTGATCTTTGGGCATGTGTATGAAAGGATCAAATGACCGCTTACTTTTATACTGCACTGACCTCACAACTATTTTTTAGGCCACAAGTACTTCATTCACATATCTAGGTCATATAACTTTTAAATATTCCATAGAAAATCACACTGTAAACATTGTTGAATATGTTAATTTGAACCTATATCTCATGTGCTGTCAAATTAAAGATAGGAATATTTACATATTGTCATACATAACATCAGCAAAGAATAAGTGTTAGACATTCTAAATTCTTGTTTACATGCTAATCATTTAGAACAACATTTCACTTGATTTGGCCTCAGTAGTGCGACTAAAATGTGCAAAATTACCACTATCAACGTCAAATCAAATCAACTCAAATTGAGAAATATAGATAGGTATAACAATGTTCACAGACTATTGGCGATCAGTGCTTTGACCACTGAAAACATTTGGAAATGTTTGCAACTGTGTTACTTTATCTTTTTCCATCATTCTGGCAATCATATGTTTTTATGACTGTATTATCAGGGACTGTGCTATAATATTGTAGATTATGGAGTTTAGCATATAGTGTTTGCATGATTTCCTACCAATTGACTTGTGATTGTGAGAGTCACAAATGTGTAATGGAATTTTAATAACAAGATGATGACTTATGCTAATGTAGTCTGGTTTTCAGATGCTAGTAGTTGAGACTAAAAAGGTTGAGGCAAGAGGGTGAAGATTGGGGTGGAGTCAACAGAATTGATAAAATGCATGCCATTAGCAGGGATGGTGGCACATTTTCTGAAAATATATCAATGCTGGGCCCGTAGTCTGAAATTATTTTTTTATGTAAGGGAAAAACAAATTCCATTGTCTATTGTCATTGTGTAGAATTATTACTCATCAGTGATGCTTATGCAGATGTCTTTTTTAAGTTTACATGAATGCAGCCAATTCAGCACGAGGTTGAGGTCTTGTTATAAATTTGATTTGTTATGAACTTATGACAAGTAACATTGTTTTACTAACATCAGAATACCACCCTTAATCTTTAAGATTGGTACATGGTGATTGATGATTGAGTTGTTATTTGTGACTGTGATGATGATGTTCATTATGATGATTTTAATCTTGTTGATGATAATGATGATGATGATGATGATGATGATGATGATGATGATGATGATGATGATGATGATGATGATGAAGATGATGATGTTAATAGGGAGAGGTCCGGGCTCTATAAAATGGAATATGCACTTCTTGGGATTTGTTGTATTTTTACAAATTAATGAAAATATGTTTCTCAGGTTATTCTCATGTTTGAAGTAGTCAAAGAGATATTATTCAGTCAATCGGTAGGTATTTATCAGCCATCACTGTCAATCAGATATTAGAAAAATGATATTCAATCTTCTTATTATAATATCACAACAATGAACATGTACATGAAAGATTATTCATAAAGTTACTTAAAGATAAAGACCAGTTATGGTCATGCGATTGCATTGTGAAAGAAACGTTGTGGAATCTATCAGAAAAGGTTGATCATCTAGCATATAAGTATTGGTGTGTACTGCAAGGTTCTGGAATCATCAAAATGATACAAAATTTGGTAAAGTTACAAGCAATGTACACAGAAAGATGTATATGGGACCACGCACATGTGCGTTATATCTATCAGGTCCAAATAGATATAATAATTTACCAAATATATCAATTAGTAGGCCATTTCTAGGCAAAATTTGTATGATCACATAGTCAAAACATATTCTTTCACATGATTGGTAATAAGAGCTTCCATTTCATTTTTTGAGAGGGGCCGATTCCAAAACTGGTCTTTACCTTTAACTTTCATATTTTTGTTTGTAAAAGTGCATGTAGTTACATAAATGTTTAAGCAAATTTGTTGTAGCATTATTTTTTGGCACTATTCCTGGTAGCTATTAAAGCTTGTCTGTGTGTAAATGCAATATATCATTCTAATGCACAGTCATGAAAAATTATCTTATAGTTGGCCTAACATATACGTGATAAAATGTAAAGCAATGCACAAGATTTTTTTGTTATATATAGTCGGATAGATAGATAGATAGATGACTTGTTACACAGTTTTGAATGTATACATGTATGAATAGAAGCTGACGATTCAATATTTCTGATTAATTCTGACTGTACATGTAACTTATCAGTAACGGCAGCCATCAATGTGCAGTTGTTTGAAAATACTTGACAAAAACATAGCCTTAGGTTAATTTATATCTATTTTTGAGCAGTTGATACATCAGGGCTTGAATTATTCAGGGATCTTAATATCATGCATTTAAAGCCAACTCTGTCAAATGTAAGCTGTTGTAATACTTCAAATATGTTATGAATTCACAAAATATGTAATACATGGCAAACAAATGAAAGTAGATTTGTGAGAGATAAATCATGAAGGTGTTTATTATTTATGCAAAAGTTATGCATCTGACACCAGTGAATCACTACAAGGCTTTAATGCTCATCTTGCAAAGATTGCAATTTTATGACAACATTTAGGTGAGGGGATGGGGGATGTCCTGATTTTTCTTTTGACAATGTGCATATAATTATCTCTTTAGAAAAGAAAATTACAATTATGCTTGGATAAGTAATAAAATTACTTAGTCCTGTATAATTATGTAGTAAAGATGCAATAATGTGAGGTTGATAACTACTGAAATAGTGCACTACTCTAATCTTGTTGTTTAAGTGAGACTAAAAATATTATTGTGGAAGTACGGTTCAGACTTGTTCAGTCCTAAAGATAATAGTATCATATCTGAATTACCTTCAACATATCTATTCAATACCATTTTACATGATAAATACAAGCACCCCAAAATGAGAAATTTAATATATATAAGGTTACTTGTAGAGTTTTAGGAAGATACCTGTTTGTTTTTTCATGTGCTTCTGTGACAGGTTTTGTGGATTGAATATTTAAAGGAAACATTAAAGAAAAATTCTATTCGTCCGATGTAGTGGCTGTCAATAAAGTATGTATTGAAGTATAGGTTTTTGCAGCCAATGTTTATATAATTTTGCCCAGCATGTTGTAACATTTATTCCGCACTTGCCCTATTTTTATAGGGTTGTTGTTCAACTTTTTTTGTCATCAAGAAAACGTAAACTATCATTTTGTTTGTGACAATACTCATGATGAATACCATTATATAACTTGTAGAAAAACTACCGGTAATAATTTCAGTGATCCAAATTAGAAATTATGTCTTTCGTGGGGGACATTAGAAAACAATATATTTTTTTAAAATAAGTTTAAATACTGTAATTTGTGATACATTGTATTTCTATCTGGATATGATCCAAACTGCAAACTAGTGCCAAATTGTTAAGGTTTAAAGTACATGTAGGAAGGCTTTTATTTGTTTGAAATCTAAACAAGAAAAACTACTTTCCATAAATTCTATAAATACTACAAATACATGTAGTTTGTAAATGAATAATATGCTACTTGGAAGTATTACACTATCCATTGAATTCTATATTTGTGATAATGATCTGATAATAATTCTTTCATTTAATTTCTAAAGACTAGCTTTATCTGATGTATGTGGACTATTTTTCCTTTAAGCTGTGATATCTAATAATCATTTGTGATTAAGTGCTATATGTTTATATTTTATATATCTTTAATCTTGCACAATTTCAGTTAGAATACATTAATTTTAATTGATGCATGTGAAATACTTCTAACTGTAATAGACTTTTTATATGTAACAAAATATTTTTGCTATCAGCTGTGATCAAATTTTGGCATTAAAATGCATTGTACAAAAGTACACAAAACAAGGTTTTGTATCATCTGTTAAATATTTTAATTGAAACCATAAATCATTATATACATATATTTTCTTATTGCTGATACATAAAGTGATGTATTGCATCAATGACATATTCATGCATTGATACATATACATAATATCTTCATCTAAATACCGGTAGAGAGAATGGGGGGGGGGGGAGAAAGAGAGTGGCGAGTGAGAAAAGGGTATCAACATATTTAAGACATAGAGGGGACTATTGAAAAAGAGAGATTGTGAGAGAGGGGGAGAGAGAAAGATTTTTAAAAAGAGGCAAGGAGGAGGAGGGGGGGGGGGGGGGTTGGGGAGGAGGAAAAAAGTCATTTCATCCAAATGCATTTTACATTGCATACAAAAAAAAACTATAAAATTATCCCCTCCATGTATGTAATTCCAATAAATTCTGTCAATAAAATCAGTCAAAAGAAGCCCATACAATTTCCACACACATTAAGCACTTCTAATTATACTCATTAGAAAAATATACATGTGCTCCTTATAATCAAGACTTGCAGTTTCGGTACAATATTGCACAAAGAACAAGACAGGACCAAACCATTTAGTTAGTGGATTTTATCTTGTCACATACAGTGTTTTGAATTGGAATAAAACAATGATAAAAAAGAGATACCGGTACAAGGAATATCACGATAATGGCACGTCATAAAAACTACAATTCTTACGATTATACCTTATATACATTATAACTTTGAAAGGTTGCCAATCAATCACAATTAAATATAGAAAACCATCAGAACGAAAGGAAAATACGGCTTTAAATCCTAAATTGTGCTACAAAATCAGCAGGCCTTATAATGTTTGGGAAATTGAACCTCAATTTTGAAGCAGCATGCTCACTTTATTGTCTGTTATACTTGTTTTAAATGAATGTACAAAGTTTAAATCTTTTTGCACCGAGTCATTCTATTTCATAAATAATTTGTTAACCCATTCAAAGCCTTACATAAAGCATTAGCATTATACAGTGAAGTGTTAAGTAATGTAGGATGCATGTAGAGGTGTCATGGTCGAGTGGATATGTCGCTGGACTGTCGATCACAAGGTCTGCGGTTGAAGTCCCGCCGCCGCACTAATGTTCTTTGTGGGGACCTGGTATGAATTTATTCCTTGAAACGCAGAGCGCATGACAGCTGCTCTGCTAAAGTTGGGGTATTTATGCTGCATTATTGTAGAGTGCTTGGAGACTTCTGATAATGTAAGTGTTAGGCGCTATATAAGCAAAATAGTTCAGAGTTATCAAGCAACCTTAAAGCTGCATACAAGATCTGTACATGCATACATGACCAGGAAACCAAACCCAATTCAAGGTATAACTATGCTGGAGAGCATGATAGTGATATGGTTATAAGATGCAAACGAGATGTATATCATAAGAATTTTGAAGGCAAAGTGTCAAACTTCCAAATGGAAAGTAAAAAAATAGTACAAAATATAGATCTTATATTTGCATCCCATAACAATCTAATAATGGAACGAACCAGCCACCCATCTTTACCTGAAGTAAAGCTAGATCTTCTTTGTTTACATACAGTGAAACCTGTATATAAATACTGCTCTATGGAAACAAGAAAAGCAGTCTTTATGTACAGGTTTCTTTAATACACCTTTTAGTGAGAAAGGAAACAAAGATGTGGTCTTTACAGACAGTTGGTCTTCCTATACAGGTGGTAGCATGCTAAAGCAGGTGTCGCTGTATCAGCCAAATAATTTCAAACTGGGCAATGAAGTCAAATGATAGTCAATAGTCCAATTAATTCCTAGTCCATCTTAATTTGGCAAAATCTTTGTTACCAAGGGTTGACAAAATTGATGACGACCATGACGGCCGATGGCATTGACAGCAATCTGGGAACGGAGTACAGTCCTTCTTACAGCACGGTTCAACTGCTGTACTCGTAGGCTTTTTCACTTGAGACTCACCCCAGACCATAGTGCTCTCAAACTGTGATTTAATCTCTTGGATCTTGGCTAGAATCTGGCTGTACTCTTTTGACGAGAGGTTGTAGTTCTCGCTGGGGTCAAGGTCGAGGTCGTAGAGCAGGGGAGGATCGTGCAGCGTCCTGTTGGCTGAAGGTCGGCAGTCCTTGTCATGATTAAATTCATCCGAGTTCTGCTGGCCCTGGGTGTAATAGTGTGCCTTGTATTGATTGTATCTGACTGCATAGATTCCATACTTGGGGTTGGGTTCGGTGAAGTAGTAGAAGAATGTGTCCCTTGCACTCTGTGAAGAAAACACAGATTACATGTAGTATGAGCATGTAAAATACAACTCTTAAAGCTTATCTGCCATAGTTTACAGGAGGGATTAGAGCACCCTGCAAGGTTACAGGACAGGTGGTTATCTCTTTAACTCAGCTCTCAGTTAACATAAGAAAAAGAGGATCATGGGGGACCAATGGTCACCGATTAGGCATTGTTTGTTATATAGAGGGCGCAAGTAGCTACAAGTAGTGCAGTGGGCCTTTAAATCTAAGACTATGAGTAAATTAATTTTTTAAAGAAACAACATGATCTAAACACAATCATAATTTATAATTGGATTATAAAGAGATGAGGCTATTTTTATAAAACTTTCTTCTCATTGAAATTTTTTATTTTATATCACAATCCCACGCACATAAAAGTGGGAAAACTATCCATGCTCTTCAGACAGAGTCTATCTGAATTATTGTTTATGTCTAGTACACAATTAAGTACAATATCTGTGGAAAATCACTTTATAGATTTTGTCTCTAGTTCAAACATAATCGTGAAATGAGAGAATAAACATTGAATGATAAAATGTTGGTATGAATCTCACAAGAACCCTGCCCTAGCTCCTGCTCCCTTTACTTCAACATTCAAATGAAACCGGAGAATACCAGAACCTTAAATGATAAAAACTTGGTGGACAGCAAAATGTAACCACTTTTTTAGCATATATAAATGAATAGCTTGAGTATTGAACTTTAGAAATTCACCTTCTTTCCTTCAAAGAGAATAGGTGCCATGTCTACTCCATCTAAAGCTACTGAGGGCAGCGTTGCACCAACAAGATTGGCAATGGTAGGTAGAAAGTCCATGTTGCCAGCCAGCTCAGTGGTGCGGCCTGGAGCGATGCGCTGAGGCCAGTATGCAATAGCTGGTACCCTCTGTCCGCCCTCGTATGTGGTGCCCTTCCCGCACTTGAGGAGCCCAGCATTCCCGCCTCTGTTCTCATTTCGCAAGCTAGGCCTGTTTTAAATTAAATGTGAAATTCTACAGATTTAGCAAGCATTCTTGGACCTCTGTAAATTTATTTTCTATTCCTTTTGACTGATAAAATGTAAGGTTAGATCTACTTTGTGTAAGGCTCTTATAAATTATAATAGAATGAATCAGGACAATCAGCAGGTGAACTTAGGACACCGCTGGTGATGTTCTGCACCCTCTTCTGGTTGCATTACAATCTACAGGATGACAAAATAATTTGCTACCACCTGTAAAGTAATTCTAGTAATTACCTACTTGAAAGTGACATCATTTTGGTAACAAATAAAATACATTATTTGTCAATCTTTTTTATAGCCAAACTTCTCAAACCAAACTTTCTTATTTGACAACCTTTCACCACTTATTTCTAGACTGCATGCTAAAATCCTACATACCCATTATCAGATGTGAAGAGAACAAGAGTGTTATCAAGGACTCCACTTGACTCCAGCTGCTCCATTACTTGACCAACGCACCAATCCAACTCCGCAAGTGAATCTCCAAATGTCCCTCTGGCCGTGGCATTGCGGAACTCCTTGCTTGCAAACTGTGGATGGTGAGCATGCTGGAAGGCATAGTAAAGGAAGAACGGTGTGCCAGCATTGGCATTTCTCTGGATGACTGATTTAGCTCGCTGGACGTACGTAGCATCCAGAGTGGTCAGGTTGACTGGTTGCTCTAGGATGTCCGTGTTGTTGAACAAGGGACAGTAGGTGTAGTTCAAGTCACAGGTGTTCCAACAGGGGTCATTCGGATAGAAGCAGTTGTAGCAAGGGCACATGTCATGGGAGTAAGGCACACCAAGGTACTCATCAAAGCCCTGGTTGGTTGGGAGATAGGTTCCGTTCTCCCCAACTCCTAGATGCCACTTCCCGACCATGGATGTGCTGTAGCCTCTGGTCTTGACGATCTCAGCGATGGTTGTCTCATTGTGGGGTAGGCCACCAGTACTGGTTGGGACCAGAACTCCTGGGTAGATTCCTGAGCGTACTGCATAGCGACCCGTCAACAAGGCTGCCCTGAAATAAAGGGAGAGAAAATAAGAATAGGAGGCAATGATGATACCATTCCCTATGAATGTGTAATTTGCTATATTTCCTGTACAACTCGTTTAGGCATGCATGGTCCGGGGCATGGTACAATAACTATCCATGAGCTTGCAGTTACACCATTTATTCTTTTTCCAAACTACAAAGTGCCTTAAATCCAGCCTTGAATGATTCAATCTGTCAATCTTATTCTGCCCTCAACTACCCCTTAGGTCAGTAACAAATCCAGCTTAACATACCGGTACTATAAAAAAAAGTGAATTCTGCAGAGCATTATTATACACCTTATGGGTGGTACAGTGTGTGTATCAAAATGTATTATAAAAAAAAAATTATATTGACTTGTGTTTGTAAGAGCTAAGAGTTTGATTTTCATCGAAGATCTGTTATGATGAAATTTCCAAATGTGATTCAGAAACTTCTCGCCTTATTTCACATTACCTATAAAAGCTATCATTATTTCACCTTCTCTTTCTATCTTTCCTTTATATGTTATCCTTTTTTATCCTAGATCCTCTTATTTTTCTACATTTCCTTTTGTTATTGTTTGTATTTCCTTCTATTATCTTATCTTATATCATTCTTTTTTTTTTTATCATTCTTTGATTTTATCATTCTATCACCTTCTCTTTCCATCTTCCCTTCTGTTTTTCTTTCTATCATTTTCTATTTCTGTCTTTCCTTATTTTGTTCTTTGTTTTCCTTCTTTCATCTCCTCATCTATCTTTCCCTTTGCTATTTATTCTCTTTACGCTCAGTCTATTTGTCTTCCCAACTTGTCTTTCCTTATGTTATTCATGTTTTTATCCTGTCATTTTGCTCTTTCTGTCTTTCCATGTGTTAACTAAAATGTGTTTATCATTCAATCATGTTCTCTCTATCTTTCCTTATGTTATTCTGTTTTTATTCTTTTACTATTTTCTCTTTCTCTATTTCATTACTTTCTCGCCAAAACACACTCACTTCCGGTTATGCTTCCTGGCTCGGTTTGCTTTCAAACTGCACATAAGAGAGGCCTGGAGCAGTGAAGAAAGCAAACAATTTTACAGAAGAAATAGAAGACACCTGAAATAGAAGACATCAAAGATCCCAATGGATAAAAAGTAACTGTACCTGGAAGGACTGCACACTGGAGCTCCTGCATAAAACTGAGTGAACACTAGCCCTCCTTCAGCTAATTTTGTGAGGTTCGGAGTCGACGATGTCGGATGTCCGTAGACTTCCAGGTCTCCATAGCCAACATCATCAGCAAAGAGGATGACTATGTTGGGCAGAGATGCTTTGTCCTTTCCATGACAAACCGTGAAGATGGAGAGAAAAACTAAGATTGCTACTGATAGCAAATTCATCCTCTTGTTTAAGATGTGTACCCTTTAATATTCAGATGATATCCTGTAGGAAAGAAAGAAGAGAATGAAAGTAATATCGTTAGACTTGGAGAAAGAAGACTATGTGTTGCAGAGACGCCAAGTTCAAAGATCAGCAATGCGTGACATTTTCATGACTCGGCATGCGAGCGCGCGGGCAAGGGTACAACACACGTATCAGGTATAGCGTTTTTTTTTAAATCTAGCGCGCGCGTCATGCGCGAGAGCATTTTCAGACCCTTGAAATGCGTGACGTCACCGTCGCCTAATGGGTGACACTTGGTAGCTCTGCGTCTTGTTGCATTTACTGCAGAGACTGTAGCAGGGCCCAACACCGACAGTAGATGTAATCAAGCTTTAATTAACCTGACCTAGATCTATGTTCATATTGTAATAAGTTTAACATGACCATTTTAGGATACAGCATGTCAGCATGTCAAACGGAATTAGCTCACTATCTAGTATCTAGGCTCGCGCTCTAGTCTCGACCACATTAGAACTAGATCCTTTATTCAGATATAAATATTACGGATAACATCATAGACTACATAAATATTTATAATTTAATTTATATTTATAATAAGGCAGTGTATGTAGTGTGTGTGCTTGTGTATGTGTGTGTTTACTATCGCATATCTGCTCCCGACGAGTGAAGTACCCAAAGCGAGTTAAGTGCAGTTGTCATTCGGTAAGCCGAGCGCGAGCAGCTAGCAGCTGAGCAGAGCGGCCCGAGTCGCAGTTGCAGTTGAGCGTTGCATGTTGCTTTAATCGCCCGTGCCGTGGAGCCGAATGAGAAACTGTGAGTGACAGTGACGATATCAATCATTCCCTAGTCGATCTAGGTTCCAATCAAATGTTTAGTCAATTTTCAAATAATTGAAAGCATTTTCGAGCCATATCCTGACTTACCATAAACAGCTAGACCTTGATTTCTTAAAAATAGATCTAGAGGTCTAGATCTAGATCACAATACCAAATCTGCACGCACCAGGTCACATGATCTCACAAACATCACGTGATTTCTGATGTGTTGATAAAACGTGGGCGTGGCACCTCCATGAGAGATCACTGGGCTAAATCTGTTTCTCTGTGACCCCTTGCTTCATTCTCGTACCTACCCCCGCACCCCCCCCCCCCCACCCCACCCCAAGCCCCACCCTATTGCTCTCTCTCTCTCTCTCTCTCTCTCTCTCTCTCTCTCTCTCTCTCTCTCTCTCTCTCTCTCTCTCTCTCTCTCTCTTCTCTCTCTGTCTCTTTCTCTCTCTAAATTGCCAGAGCTTTTTGTCCCCCAGCTAGTATAGCATCTCATTTCATCCAACATGTATGTTCGCTTTTACTTACTATTTTTTCGTTCTTTATCCCAATTATTGTAAATCCGATCTTTTTTTTTTTCTTCTTTTCTTAGTTTTTTTTCTTCCTCTTTCCACTTTTCATCTCCTCTTGATGCTTTTGTAACACACGTCTTCTTGATCTTCCACATGTCTCTTGTTCCTTCCTCCGATTCCTTCCCCGTGTTTGTTTTTTTCTTCCTCTGTCTGTTCTTTCCCAAAAGAGAGAAATAAAGGGTTCTATTTCAAACAACATGTCACATGTTAAGCATTGGATAATGAGGGACTGTACCATCATTAAAAGGTACACTAAGTGGAGAGTGTTCTATTATTCACCATCGAAACTATCTAAATGGTCTTAATAACGCTGATGCATGCGTCTTTATACACCCAAATTTGGACATTATACGGGTGTCTCAAAATAAATGCAACAAGGACATGATTGACATTTGACAACATCTTAAAAAGCATGAAGCCATTCTCAATGGAATTTCATAGGTATCTCTTTAATAGTCTTCGATTTGTCCTGTGAATTTCAAAATAATTTAAGCGAAAACTTTACAGCTATGTTAATTTTTTATAAACGTAGCATTGTCCAAAAGTTACAAGGAAAGTGAATTGAATTGCATCAGTGCACGACAGGCGCATACATGGCATCTGAGCATTTCATAGCAACCTCTCAATTAGAAATAAATTCTTCCTACTAAAATGATTCAGAACTAGTATTTAGTATTTAGTATCTCTTTTACAGAGACATAGTGACTGCATCACATAAAATGAAATTGTGGAGCAACCTAAAGGTCATTTTAGGTAATGTTAGATCTTCTGAGAATGGATATCGTAATATAATTGCATAACTTGAAACAACTATTTGAAGAGTTGAATAAGTAAACATTTGTTATTTCATTTCAAACGATGCTTTATGAACTGGAAGAAAACTCACAATTTACTTCAAAAGTTTCCTAGATTTTTGTCTTGTTGTTCTTAAAAGATGTTTCTAATACAACTCTGTTCCTGACTTTTAGCACACGATTAATCAATCTAAAACGTATCAGTGGTCATTTTACCAACAAATTATGAGTTGGAATGACTCCAATGGAAAAGTTTGCCGCGAAATGACAAAAGCAAAACGGAAAAATTCGCTCGTTGTGATCATAACTTTGCATTGTTAGTAAGTGTTCTCGTGAAAGTCACACAGAGTTTAATGTATTTTACTAACAGATTACCTACGAAATTTCAATTCGAATGGTTAATTGCTTTATAAGATATTGCCAATCAAAATATCGTTGCATTTGTTTAGACACTGTATCATCAGGGTATCATTGTTGATGTAATCTAAATGTCTAAATGCTGGTTTCATCTAAACTGGGTCTTTTACTTTCATAGGAGTGCATGCGGGTGTCACTAGATCAGGGGGGAGGGATGTCGACAAATGGCTGTTGTTTTTATTAATCGTCAATGAACCATATGTGACATTTTTAGAGGATGGGGGGGGGGGAGATGTTTATTTATCTTTAGTCGAGAATCTTTTTAACGCATATTTGGTCCGAAACCCCATCTTCCCTCATTCAAAATAATCGGGCAACGCCCCTGATTACATGGTGAAAAGACAACCTATGATTATTCGGATGATTGGTAATTATAGACTATGATTAGAAAGGGCAATTTCTAGTAGTATTCTTTTTGCGAAAAAATACACTGCTTTTTACAATCAATAGGTCTCATCTGTAGTTTATGTCTAGTTTATAAATCAATTGAATTAATTGATTTATTGACAGACCAATTTCTATTTGTGATTTGATTCACCAGTAATCATGCGCATTGATTTTATGTGACAATAATTAATACATGAATTCATCCTTGAAAATATATTGCAGGTCTGTGACATGCTTTGAATATAAAAAAGACGGATAAGGGTTGTTTTACAAGCGAATACAAGCGGACAAAATATGTCTTTTGAAGTTTGAAATTTGAAATTTATTTGATTTCCAGGTACATGTATAAACAAGATAGAAATGACAACACAGAGCATATAACATTAAGAGTTACAAGACAGTGAAAAAGCCACCAGCGGACGCCTGAGGATTACCTAAAAGAATTTCCATTCTGTCATGAGGTTCTCCACATCCACTGGCGTTACATATAAATAGATTTAAGAAGTAATGTTCATATTTAAGAGGGGAAATTATAACCTGTATAGTCATCGGTATATTCTCCCCAATTAACCCAGGTAACCCAGATGGTTTATGTGCCTCTCTGACTACACTTTCTCGTTAGTCGGCAGAATATGCATGTAATTTGTCAAAAGGCTTTTAATGCAACGGCTTCTCATCACGACCACGACGCATGCAATAATGATTAGGCATACAGAATACGTGAGAGCAATAACCATTAGCCTTTATGTAGCCTATATAATACCGGAAACATAGTAGAATGAAAAAGGGACAAACAAAGTCGTATTAGCCATTTTCATGATTGATGTGCATTGAGAAAATCGATATTATTTACCATTGGTGATGCAGTTTGGAGCAAGAATATATAAATATTAATAATAAACAAACACTGGAGAAACCGAGCATGAACTAAAGAAATAGAGCAGGAAACTATTACCATTATCCTGATGAGACCATGCAAGAAAGAGGACATAAATTATAAAATGAGTGCTTTCATACAGTAAACCCATAGCAGTAAAAACATGAATAATGTTGTCAAGCTGCTACACACGAAATTTATAAGACTCTTATGCTAGTTACGGGAAAACAAAGTGTTATTCTTATTTTTATCTGCTCAAAATTCATTAAAGAACTCGAGATATCCACGCCTTGTCTTTGTCTCATCAATAAAATATCATGCAAGATACCTCATAGAGGGAAGTAATAATTATAAAAATATTTTAAACCCATTTAAGCCTCATCAGCATCAGTAGCCATGTTCAGACGGGGGCTTCATATTATAGTCGGCGTAAGTAAATCCCTGCCAGCGGCGAATCAGCCAGCCGGCGAAAGGCGAATAAGCGGGGGAAAGGGGGGGGAGCACCTTTTCCCCAATTCGTGAGGAAATATTTAGCAGCGATTCATCCATCCGGTGAATAAGCGGGGGGGGGGATGCTGGAGAGGAGGACAACTAATTTCTTGGGGAGGGGGCAATTTTTTTTTTCTTCTTCTTTTTTTTTCCTTCTTTTTTAGTGGGGTCAGGGGGTCGGTTTTTTTTTTTCAAAGGTAAAATTTACGTCACTATTTTTTTACCCTTTTGGGGAGGGGGCGGGCCAGTAGAATCGGCATGTGGATCCGCGCCTGATCCCTGCAGCAGTAAATATCCCAAGAATATTTGACTTAGGCCTACACCATTATTTGTCCATACCGTCTTACTCGGACCAACTTGCCACGATTAACGTAACACGATCTTCCACCGACAAAATCTTACTCAGTGTAACTGCCGGAAGTCAGGGGCGGAGCCAGGATTTTCCAAGGGGGGGGGGCGTGTTCTTGCTGTTTAGTGTTCTTGCTGAGGGTCCTGCAATTATAACTACCCAAGCAATAAATTGTCAGGTACCCAATTAAAGATACTATTATGTCCCTTTTGCAGCCAACCTCAAATTCTGTAGAACTTTGCAGGAATTGTGAATATTTCATGTATGTCCTATCTGTGAAATTTAAACGTTAGAAGTGTTCTAATATTCAAATTATGCAAAGAAACCTGTTTACTTGCTAGACTTCACTGCCAGACACTATTGAGTGACTGACTGGCTTTTTTTCTTCTTTCGTAATAACATACATAAAATGAGCTGTAAAGAGTACATGAGCATTTGTCTCAACAATAACCCACTTCTTGTGATGGCCAAAATTAAACTGATTGAATCTTTGCGCAGCATAAAACGTATGACCATTTGGTACAATGGTCTGAAAATCAAGACTATTACTTATTGGCTCTATAGCTCCTAAGTCGATTTGACAACTAATAGTCGTTATTTTCCCACTTGAAGATATTTTCAAGCCCCACCTTTTTTAGAGAAGTTCTAAATTAGTATTATCTTTCAAATGCCGTTGGAATTTAACCTTTTCATTTTTTTTGGCTTGCAAATAGGACATAGTACCTTTAAAGGACGTTAGTAACGGGCTCGGATTTGAACCCTCAGTCCTTGGAATGAACCACTATGTCACGACACCGCCACAATTAATATAAGCTTGATATAAACATAATTTCTGTGTATGATACTAAAATGGGTTTGAATAATGTCCTGGTGTGACTGAGGCATATTACAAGATTTCAAGGATTGTCAAGAAATCAACTTGAGGGCACTTCCAATGCCCTATTAAATTGCTTACAGTAATCACGTTCGGATTACTAATGTGTCATTGTCATGTTCATATATTTCCATAGGTGACGCACAAGACTAATGAAAGAGTGCCAGAGCGAAGTGTGTGTGTTTTTAAAAGCCTTTGAGATCGTGTCGGGCGCTAATAGGAGAAATAATTAAACTGTGTAAATCAGCCTTATAGGCTTTGGAATGAGGTTTGTGGCGATAATCTTTAAGAACGTTGAACAACAACAACAGCAATAGCAATAAATAAAAATATCGAACAATAGCAACAAAAAGATTGAAATACTTGTTGGAATAGCCTACCTTATTCATCAAGTATCAGGGCGAAACAGACAATCCTCGCATTTTAGCGATCTTTATAAATT